ATTCGCGCACATTCGGATCTCACGTCACTGTTGACAGTCATAACTTTGAAATCGTAGATATTTAGTCTATCTTGGAACAAGTAATACCAACAACAATGTTAGCTTGGAAATCACTCTTCTCAACAGTTGCTACTTTGAACTGAGTAGGCAATTAAAAAGTTCCAACCACTCACCTAATTCTCTTCCTCAGCCTCTCCTTTATTTAAACGACAATTTCTAGAGCGATGCATTATAATAAATATTATTACATTTATTTTTCAGCAATGTGAAGAAATAACATTTTTTATCCCGTTGTAAAAATAGTAATCACTAATGCCATTAAGACCTGCTCGTTATTAGGTCTTTCCTGTTGTATTTCGAAAGTTGCCGAAGAGCTTTCAAGTAGCAATAGATTTGCCAACTCTCTTATGCAAGGTTTTTGTACTTCGAAAGGCTTTGGGGTTGTGAAATTTGTTGTTGGAATTGATTTTGCATCGATTCGGATGTTCGAATCAAAAAAGAAAAAAAAACAAAGGAATTGAGAAATTCGAGCAAAAAGCAAATCCGATCTGAATTGTCGAAATTACCTTTTTTTTATTATTTAGTTCTGTTCTGCGAGCCACACGGCACGAACAATTGGTAACACTACCAATAAATCGAAATACAGAACACCAAATTCGTTGATTTATCAGATTTTAATTATGCAACTCCGATTGGAATCAATTCCAATTCTAATCAAAATCGTATATCAGAACAGCGTTGATAGTGCTCAGAGTTTGACTGTTAGTCCAGCAAGTTGACAGGCTTAAATAATTTCTGAATGAAACGGGTCTCTTGAACACTACACAACAAATATTTATATTTTCGTTATCTCTTCAGGTAGATTTTATAAAAATACACCAAGTGCTTCGCGTAGTTAAGAGGATGGTATAGAGCTGAAAGGCCTAATTTGTGTTATTGCAATGCGGCATTAGAGCGAAGCTCATACATTGTATAAATAAAAAAAACACAAAAATACGCTCGGATGGACTGATATTCTCTACAACGGGGCCACCGCAATTAAAAAAAAAATAATAATAATTTTCTATGATTTTTTGACGTTGGTCAAAACAAAACTGGAGCCCTGACTTTCAGGATGGCAGTACGCAATGATAACCAAAAAAATCCTTAGAAAAAGTATTGCTTTATTAATTGCTTAAAGTTCATAAATTTTGTTTTAAAGTTTTCTATTGACTATCACTATCCCGTAAAAATTATTTTTCTCCAACTTCAACTTCTTTAATTTATTTAATGTGCTTTATTATTATTTACTATGAAGTCCTTTGGAAACGTAACGGCGTTAGAACTGCGAAGGAAAATCGTAAAGTGGAAATCACAAAAAGTTCATGGCAACAAAAAGATATGCACCAAAATAATTGCATTTCTCTCAAATATGTATGCCCTTTTTTTGTTAAAAACTGCCCACGAACAGTCTGCTTAGTCATCATTGTACATTGGAAATGCATGACTGCAAGGACCTTAACACCGATTGAAACACATTCTCATATTTGTCCAAGTGCAAGTATTTTTCGAGTTAAGTATGATTCATGTGAACAAAATATACTATACAAAAAAAAAACAAACAAACAAAAAAACAAAAAAAAAATCATAATTAAAATTCCTATTCTAATAACACAAAACGGATATAATTATGTACACACAAGTACATATAAATACATGTTACAACTTAAAAATTGTTCTCGATTACTAAAATCAGTTTGGTAAACGTGAATACATTGCAAAGGACGAGAAGACTTGGAGAACACTGCCTTAAAAAATTGGAATTGTCTTTATTTAATTAAAAATATAAATTGCAATTGTGTAAAATTATACAGAAACCACATCGAAAGCAAAAATCCCATAAGTAAGAAGAGCTATCTTCGGCCGTGCTAAAATCTTTATACATAACTTTTTTTTATTTCATTTTAGGATTAAATATTAATGCTATTAAATGAGAAATTTCTGTGACTTTCATTACCAATATGCAATTCTTTTCAAGTGTGTTGAATAGCAAGTTTAATGTTCTCAAGGGCTTTAATAAAGTATTTATGACTCAAAACCACACATCTGAACAAATTGGTTGTATGAGGGTTATATGCCATAGTCGGCCGATCCGGTCACTTCTGACAAATGATAAATACTGCATAAAAACACATCTGGTTGAAATATCTCAAACCCTAAGAGACTACTTTTCATACAAATACTGACAGACGTGCCTAAATCAATCTCCCTCGTCATTCTGATGCGATCGGAATACATTTCAAATATATCTAAATAATTTAGACGCTTAATAGTAATAAGTTTAAAATCAAAACGTACTCGCATGACAAGGTTGTCAGCTGGACTTAAAGATCCCCACATAGAGACCAGCTCCAATGAAAAAGAGACAACGTATAACGACGATCATGAAAAATGTTCTAAGAACAATGATATAAGCACATTTACCCTTTGGTTCCTTGATTGGTAAGATGCTGCAAATTTGGTGCTGGACTTGTGATGGAAGAGGGATTCAGTCGGCGAGTCTTGTCATTCACCCCTGTTAGATGAAGGTCTACACATAATACTCATTAGAGCGAAGTCCTTTAACATATCGTTAATTTGCAGCAACGTAAGAGAAGCGGCATCAACACTCTCAACAACCACGCTCAGTTTTCTCCATACCAAACTGGAGCCTGCCAATGGGCCTAGAAGTGAACAGAATATACTACGCATTCAGCGTATTCGTGTATTGGCCCCGAGATCACTGTTGACAGTCATAACTTTGAATTCGTATATAAGAATGAATTCGTAGTAGACAAACTACTTTGGAACCAGCATCAAAACCAAAAAAGTGCTACTTTACCTGAGTAAGTAATTGAACAGTAAAGTACTCTCTCGGCAAACAAGAGCTAAACTCTGAAATGCGCTTCGATCCCGTCCTGCTATGTGGTGCAAAAGCGAAGACGATGACGACATCTGTTGTGGCGGCATTTGGAGTTTTCAAGAAAAAGATTTTGCAACCGAATTATGGACCCTTTTTCCCTTATCAATGGCGAATACTGCAGACAATCAGGTGTACGGGATATGTGACGATATTGATAGTTCAGCGAGTTAAGAGAAAGTGGCTACGCTGGCTAGATTATGTCGTTCGTGTGAAACACTCCAGCAAGAAAACTCCAACTCTGAAAGTTTTCGGCACAGTAAGCGGTGGCGGGAGCAGAGAGAGAGGATCTCTACTACTCTGCTCGAAGGGTTATATGGAAAAGGACTTGATTTCACTTGGTGTTTTCAATTGGCACTGCACTGCTAAGAGCTTAAACAAATAGTGCGCTGTTGTTAACTCGGCTATAACAGCGTAAGCAGTGCCTGCACCAATAAAGAAGAAGATGAAACTATGCTTTCGGTGGTACAAGTTTAATGGTAATGTGGGAACAAAAACGAATAGGAAAATTTAAAACGGACTAACATTAGAGCTCTACAATGCAATTTTACCACATGAAAAGTGGTGAAACCAAACGTACAAGCACTCTGAACGGATTATCGAGCAAGTGGCACGGCGGATCAATGGGCGAGAGAAGTAACCATCTCAAGAACTGTGAGCAAATAGGATCCAAAGCAAGGCATATGCTAATGGCTTAATGAAACCTTTTGATATGTCGCTAGGTAGATCTGACCTTAGGTCTTTCAAGTAAATCAAATCATGGAACATAATAAAGATATCTTTGAATAGGTCAGCCTCTGGTCCACTTTCTGGAGAGAATAACAGTATACTTGTTAATCTAAGCAAAAGGCCACCTTTGTACCGAATTTCTAGTAAATCTAGCCAGAAATAAACTTTTTTCGAATAGGTCCCTCGTCTCTTGTCCACTTTCCGGAGAGAAGAAGAGTCTTCTATATACAATCTATGCATAAAACTACCTATGTACCGTATTTCAAGTAAATCGAACTATAAATAAGATATTTTCGAATAAAGCAGTCTCTGGTCCACCTTCCGAAAACCCTTTCCCGGCATCATAGAAGCAATCTGACGAAATTTCAAGTCAATTGGCCGCTAACTTTTGGAGATAAATTTTCAAGTCATTCGGTCAGTAACTTTTGGAGATTTTTGGAATTGATTGTATTTTTCCATGCAGACATAAGATTTTTATATATAAGATTAAGCTCCGTAATTGCGGTCACCCCTCGGTAGGGAATGTCAAGCCCTCCTAGTGCACTTCCGATATGAAATAAAAGCCCCTCATAAAAATCCATTGACCGTTCGGAGGCGGCTAAATGTAAACTGTAGGTCTTTCCATGCGTAGGAAAAACATTAACAAGAAAAAGAAAACCATAAATTGTAGGGAGAACTCGGCCGAAAACCACTTCCTAATTAATTAATTATTCCGAAAAAAATGGAAGGAAAAAATTTATGTAGAAATGTCAAAAATTTCATCCAACAGAGTTTCTCTGTTCGAACATGGAGAGCAACATCAAGAGAGAAAAAATCAGCAAAAGCTTTGGCGTGTAAACTCAGTAAAGGATAGGCACGATATATACAGGATACTTTTCCTTGTTTGGTAATTTTTTATATTTCTATTTTAAACTAATAATCCAATCCTAGAATTTTTAGTTTTGCAAAGAAACACATACATTTTATGGTCAGTGGAAAATACATGGTTTCAAAATAAAAAAAGGATCCCATAAAAATACTCGTAGAACGACAGATAAATGACTCGTTGTAGCCCCTAAAGCGACTTTTGATCGAGCATTAGTTTTATTAAAAACATTAAATGCACACTTTGAAATCTAATAAAAGAAAACCTGATATTTAGTTCGAAAATCCCTCCAATATTTATAGGAAAAGTGGTACTTCACCAAATACGAGGGCATACATCCGCCCATAAATTTAGTAAAGATTTCCGAAATTTGATTTTTAAAAAAGCATTTTTCTATACATATAAAAATTAGATTTTAATAAAAATAATCTTACTTAAAATTGTGAAATTTGCTTTGAGTGTACTCACCGGAAAATTCCATTCTCGGGGCAAAGACATTTTTTACTAATCGAAAAACGTTTTTGGTTTTGGCGTTTTGCACGTTTGAAACCTAAATGCATTGGTTTAAATCGGCTTTTTTTGATGCAAGCGAATAGTTGCGACAATGCCAACGTCGGCGGAATTTTTATTTTAGTTAACGAAGCTGGCGACGGCACCAAATAGTCGAACGATGCTCCGACACCGACACCGACAACAACAACTGCGCTGATAGTGTGTTTGTTGCAGCAGCTGTTGCTGTGTTGCAATGGCGACCAATAGCCAATAAACAGTTTTGTTGACGTCGATAAGATTGAAGATTTATAAATTTTAAAAACAAAAAATAATAATAATATTATGTGAATAACACTATTTAACAGGGGATTTGCTAGTAATATACAATATTTACTTTTTACAGCTCTGCCTTTGGCACACAATGTTAGCAAGCTATTATGCGTATATTATCTTTTATTATATTTAGCTATTCTTTTGTTGTTTTATTGTATTTATATCTATGTATAAATTGGTAGCAATTGAAAAAAAAAAATTGAAAAATATCCTCGTAGAAATTCAACTTGTTCTTGGCCAAGTCAACCCAGTTGTGCGCTTTGTTTATGGCGACATTTTTTGGCTTTGGCGTAGAAGTCTTGCGAATAAATACAATTTACATACACTCTTCTATATTTAGTAGTTGGTTGTTAATGTAAGTCAAGGTGAGCGGCGTAAAAAAAATGTTACGAATACGACACCGTGTACCCGTTCAGCGTGGTAGTCAGTTGTAGAATGCACTTATTGTTGTTGAAATAACGTTTTGGTCGTGTTTGCTTTAAAGAAAGCACTTAATGTGTTCTCCTACTCGATTTGTTCTCTCTCGCTCTCGCTCTCACTCTCTCGCTCTCACTCGCTGTTTTCCTTTTCGCTCCTGATGTGTTTTATTATTTCCGCTCTCTCTGAATTCACTTTTGAGTGTCCTTTTTGCTTTTAAAATACGGTATTTTCCGTACGTTGTCACCGCTCTTCCGGGAAAACGTTACCCTTTCCGCTATGTCTTCTTCAAACAGCAGTATATATAGCTCTGTATTTGTTGTTATGTTCGCTAAATTTGTTGTTGCTGTTATTCGTTTAGTAGAGCTTCGCGCTCCAGTTCATTTCACCGCTGAACTTAGCCAAGTCCTTTCGCTGTGACTCGTAACGGGTTCGCCCTGTATCCCGTCGTTTTCCACTTGCCGTTCAAATGCTTTGTTCTTTGTTGTTGATTTGTTGTCGTCGCCAACGAATTTGATTTATGTTACAAATCGATATTATTCCCTTTGCCGCACTCCGCGCACGGCACTACGTAGTGAATTTAATGTACTTACACAATGACAATTAGCAAAAATTTCTATTCAATTAATTGATAATGTTTCCTTAAGTAACCGTTAGTTTGTTATAGAGTGTAAAAATTCCTTTCTTCTAGGTATACAATTAGGCTTATTTCTGCTGTGGCCTCATTTAAAATTTCTTATTGTGCAGTTTTTCTTTCAGCAATTGCTCTAAATTTCTGCCTTAAATGGCCAAAAAAGCCTTCGTTATATACTTTCTGTTCAGGTCACTTATTTCACAAAATTTTTCTCTGATTTCCTTGTGAGTGCGTGAAGTTATCTTTATAAAAAATGATATCTTGAAAATATTTTCTTTCTTATCGACCCAGGAGGACTCTTGTGTAATTGCTGATGATATTTAAACGGTGCTGCTTGATGTTCCCACTGTTTTAATGCGTCCGTCACGGGAAAAAGTCAATACTCAACTGCACATCAACGCATTCGGCAGTTACCTACAATGCAACGAACTATCAACATCTGTTCGTATCCTTGGTATTCTGCTTTGTGCCGCAATGTGTTAAATTAATAATGTGCTGCAGAGAGGGAGAAACCAGAAACAAGAAACAGAGAAAGATTTGCCCGTTGTGGCATCTGCGCATTAAATCCCTGAGTTTATATTTCTGTTAGTAAATACATATGTACATATATATGTCTTTTGTTTTTTCCATATTATTGTTTTGCTCCGTTCTTTTAGTCCAACTTCTTTTCGTGCACATTTTCCAAACAATGTACGGCGCTGAAGAAAATATAAGGGTCGACAGCGCATTTAAATGTTACCAAGTTCTTTACCATCGTCCTTTCTCGAAGAGCGACATGGCAAGACGAGGTCTATAAAGTTGGTGAGTTTTCTACCTGTATGTGCCTATGTTACCCAGTTGGGGTCCCAACCTTTTTCACTTCTGCATCCTTAAGAAGATAAATGTTCTGATATCGAGGGGAAACGTAAGGAGATGCAACTACGAACAAAACATATAATTGCGGCTGTAATAACCTTCTGACTCACAGGTACTGAAAACTCTGTCTCACCCATATTGTTGGAGTTGTCTAGACGAGACTGAATTACCATTATCGTTTCTCACTCAACTTTTCTGATATTAAAATTACTCAGATTATAAAAAATATATTTAAGTTAATTTTTCTATTTGCAGTCACCCCTCGGCAGGGAATGCAAAGCCCTCCGAGTTTATTTCTGATATGAAATAAAAGGTTCTGCTAATAATCCATCGGCCGTCCAGAGACAGCATAGAATAAACTGTAGGTTACTCTATTTGCGGGAAAAATATGAAGACGCTCACCACAAATTGGTGAAGAAGTTAGACTTTGTCGAAAAGCATTTCTTTCTCGGCCATTTGGTCACGGTTTCTTCGATATCACAAAAGGCGTACTCATTAATTATGCTTGTATGACCTGTATCAGTTTCAGACTAATACATAGTCTCTGGATTTAAACTTCCACCGCACATTTTGTTAGTTTTTTTAATGATTAACGCGATTCATACTTAGGTAGCTATATGGTTATTATCTACCATATTCTTTCATTCTTTCTTTTTGCTCTCACTCAAGTTGAATGAAAATAATGTATGGTATGCAGATATCTGTATAGTTGGGCTTCACTTTTGGCCTGGTCTTTTCCAGTATACCTTATTAAATTGGACTTAAAATTTAAATGTTCGCAGCTTGAGAGGCTCTGTTTAACTGCAGCCGTCAAATTGTAGTTAATTGATATATGACATTACAGTGCCTCCAAAACAGCGTTGGAATACAACTCTGTGCTTTTGTGCACATTTTTTGTGGCAAATAAAGTAAAAACACGAGTTTGTGTTAAAGTTTTTGTCTATTCGGCCGGCATTCATTCGTCTTCATTAAGAACATTGATCAATTTTCAGAAAAAACGTGTTTGTGTGAAAAGTTGTGAAATCAAGTAGATTTTCCAACATGACTGTTTCGCGGGAAAAGGCATCCATATCTGTGGTGTCTCCCAGCGACACTGAACCAATTGAATGGTCGGCCGAAGAGGAAATTCAATTGTTTTTCGCATTAGAAGGTTTGAAGCCTGTCGGCATTAATAAGCATTTCTATATGGCCTGCATTGCCGATCGACTGTCGAAAAATTTGCAACGTGATGTACCAGCGGAAGCGATATGGGCACATTTACGTACCATGTACAATTTGGATGTATTGGACGAGCTGGAACCATTGCCGTTTCCCAATGAAGAAAAAGAATTTTCGCTCCCCGAGACAGAATTTTCGGCTTTGCTATCAAAAAAACTTGCTGAGAGTGAAGAGAAACAACGTCTTAGTAGCGTAGATAGTAGCGGCGGTCCACCCTCTATTATTGCAGTTGCTACTGATAATACAACAAAGAGTGGTAACAGCGGTAAGTTGCGCTATTGTTTATTGCTTTATTAAGTAATTAAAAAAAAAATGTGTATATATATGTATATATTTTTTACGCAGAAAAAATACCATCACATAAAGTCAGTGCAGGCAGCCACAGTTTAAAAGATATTGATAAAAAGATAACAACAAAATTGACTGATATGCCGAAACGTGTTCCAAAGCGTACGCGTGGTTCTATGTCCCTAGAATCGAATAGTAGTCCATCCACAACACCGCCACCTGTGCAAAGCAATAAAAGACGGCGAATATAAGCGAATACCAAAAAAAAAATTGAAACATTTTTAGTTATTAAGAATATTAATCAAAATCTGTATTGGCCCACAATACCAAGTAGAATAGTGCTGGTGAAAAACAGCGTCATCATTGGGATTAATCATTTAACATATGTATGTATGTTTATAAATTGTTATGTTAAGTACACATCAAGCGTAGTTCCTAAGTTCGTCCTAATTTAAATTTTATTTAAAATTTTCAATGATTTGTTATTCTTTATTTTATGTACGCTTAAAAGCTTACCAAAACCATTATGTATATAATACATAAACAAAAAACTTAGCATGAGATAATAAAACACATGTAAAAATTTACGTGTAAAATTTTTTAATGAAGTACTCTTATAATACATTTATTTACTTTACACCAGAAAAAAGCTTTCGTAAAATTGAGATTCGTTTTTATGATGAACCTAATCAATGCGGAACACTACAAAATTTGAGTGCCAATGAACGTCTGCTCCTCAAAATCATCATTGGCGTTCCCAGTCGATGTTTGGGACGAATTCGTAGAGAACTGTTCCATAATTTGACCAGTAGCATTTATGCGGTCAAGAAATGATTTCAGAAGGTGTTTATTTATACGATCGGTTTGGGTTAATTCTCTCGTTGCTTGAGGCTCTTCCGTAGTATCCCGCTCATCACTATTCGCTTCACTTGCAGAAATTGAGTTTGCAATGAGGATTGGGTTTTGCACTCCGTTAACAGGATTAACTTCTTCGTTCAACGACATGCTCTGCAATACCTTGACTGGCATTAGAAATTTATAATAACTTTTTTATATTAAAACGATGACTTTGGATAACTTCCTTCGTATTGAATTATTCCGAACAAAAATTATGAAATATTTTACAGGAATAATTCGTCTAATCTATCTAAAATTACTTTGTTTTTATTTTTCTACAAATGAGTCATATGTTGCCATATGACATAAAAAGTTATAGATAGCAGCTTATAACAGTACACACTTCTCAACCGAAAGTTGTGACTAGGGTTCAAATATTTTCCGAATTTATTCTGTGATCTCAGAGCCGTAATCATGTTATTTATTTCAATCCGTCTTTTGGCAAAACGCACAATAACAACATCGACATGTAATTTTAAATCAAACACGTTCATGGAGAACAATTTCAAATCCGAACTTATGTTCATGGCGCACGTAAAAGTTTTGTAAGGTCTGGCAACATTATAGTAAGAAAAAAACAAGTCCAATTTGAAATGAATGATGGTATAAAAAAGGAAATTGAAGAAAATTTGTTGAGAAAGTTTCGGGTTCACGGATGCAACATTTTTTATTTTTACAAATTCAAATTAAATTAAGAACATTTATACAAATCGGCGAAAAAAGCAAAATAATACAATTTGTGCGTATATAAAACTAGAAGTCAACAGTATTTTTGTGTGATTTAGAAATTTTATGGATTATGTCTATTGTGGCGCCGAACCGCCAGAGGACATCTTAAGTAAGAACTTTGTCAAATTTTCCGTAAGCTTCTGGCTGTAAGATTTCATTGCTTTCACCACACTCCTATGAAAACGCTAAAATTGCGGTTGCATTGTTATTAACTTGAATTGTGTCGTATTATGTAGATGTCTACGATGGCGGCGGCCAAAGCGCCACGGGTCACTTTTCACCAAATTTTAATGGTTTTAATATTAGCTCCGGGGACCCAGGCTACATGGAACTCGTTCCCATTTTAGCAGATGGAGGCGAAAATTTTGGTGTATCAGCATTAGCATTTGATGATTATGAGGAGCTGCTATGGATGGGAAATCAAGGGGTAATAAAATTATTTGTGTTATTTCTGCTTGTCTCAATGATGATATTTTTTTTTTATCTTACAGGGCCACGTCACATCATATTACAGTGGCACCATGCAAAAGTACACCTCTTTCCAGGTACATGCAAGTGATATTGTTCGTCAAATCATAACAACAGATAGTGGCATTTTGGTACTGACACAAACATCATTGAGGCATCAAATACGTCGTGGTATACCAAAATTTACGCACCGCTCGAAAAATATGACGGAAATGGTGTGTATGCAGCAGTTAACACCAAGTCGGCTTGTCATGGCAGGTCTACAAGATGTTATGATCGAGTTTGATTTGAGCACTTTGAAAGAAACGAAAGTTGTAAGTTATTAAATTAGGATATTTATTAGTATTTTTTTCTAATGACATTGCTATGTTACAGGATCCTGTCGGCTCAACAGGTTGTACGGTGCTACGCAAAAATTCTCGCTATCTCTTCGCTGGTGATCCATTCGGTATTGTGACTTTGCGAGACTTAAATACACTCCATATTGAGCACACAATCAAAACTCATACCGGAAGCTTATCCGACTTTGATGTACAGGGCAACTATCTAATCTCATGTGGTTATAGCGAGCGACAAGGCACTTTGTCTGCCGATCGGTTCCTCATGGTGTATGATCTACGTATGTTGCGTTCTATATCGCCAATACAAGTACTGATTGATCCACAACTTCTAAAATTCTTACCGTCGCAAACTTCACGTTTGGCTGTAGTCTCGAGTTATGGTCAGATACAGTTAGTAGACACCGTTGAGTTAAGCGAACCACGAGTATCAATGTATCAAGTCAACACAACTGGTAGCCAGTGTTTGAGCTTCGACATATGCTCCTCATCTCAAGCGATGGCTTTTGGTGCACAATCAGGGCATATTAGTGTTATCGCTTCCGTTAACACTCCACAACCACAATTCAATGCCTTTTCACGAAACACTGAGTTTGCTGATCCTGTGCCACAATTGCCTTTCACGCCCATTACAGACACCACATTTCCGCTCTCATCTATTCCCTTACCATATTTGGTGACGGGACCACGATGGTTTTCCGATTGGCCCCAACAATTGTTACTTTATCAATATCGACGTCCAAAACCAATTGAAGCCGATGTGCTCAATAATATGAAAATGCAAGGTCCAATTGGTTATTCTCCAAATCCGCGTACTGCACGACGCAACCAAATACCATACATATTAGATACATCCAGTAGTTTGGCAACAAATAGCAATGGAAATACAAGTATGGTGAAAACGACAGAGAGTGGTGCGAAAATCATACCGCGACGCTATCGCAAAGTTGAATTAAAATATACAAAACTAGGTACACAAGATTTCGATTTCGAGCAACACAATCAAACATGTTTTGCAGGACTTGAGGCTACACTTCCAAATTCATATTGTAATTCCATGCTTCAGGTAATTTCGAAACTTTTGGTATTCAGCCCGTAATAAAACCATTTTCTTAATAACATATAGATTTTATATTTTATTGAGCCGCTGCGTCAAAAGCTAATCGACCATTCTTGTAAAAAGGAATTTTGTTTGTCCTGTGAACTCGGTTTTCTCTTCAATATGTTGGACAAAAGTTCAGGTACACTGGAGCTCAGTTTGAATTTTGTTAAATAAATTATTTTCCCTGTACATATATATCTTAGACATTGGTTTATTTTTCATTTACAGCTGCATCGCCATGCCAAGCAAGTAACTTTCTTCGTTCATTTCGTACAGTGCCTGAAGCTTCAGCATTGGGTCTTATACTGTCGGATCGATCGTCAAATGTTAATTTAATTAGTCTTATACAGGTCAGTTTTGTTGTATTGCGGATAGAGACAAAGCTTTATTCAGCAATATAATTTTTTTTAGAATTGGAATCGGTTCATTTTACATCAGATGCATTATGAAATGGTGGACTCAGAGAAAAAAAGCCGCCTGAATAGCGCAACCAGCACGAGCAGCTCTGGTACTACAGTCTTTTAGTTATAAAACCAATTTAATATTAAGATCAGATTGATTTTCTAAAAACATCTAACATTCTAACAATATTTAACGATATCTTAAAAAGTTCTATTTTTACACTAATAATTAATACTTTATAGAAGAAAATTCGGCTAGCAATGACAAACCTTCCACAGGCGATATATTTCAAACAATCGATATGAAGGATAGTAAGTATATACTAAATGATTTTAGTCTTTAAATTATGCATAATTTTTTCTAAACTTCTTTACAGATGATGATCGAGAACGAAGTAAAATAAACGAAGAGTCAGAAATTAGTCGGTTATTTGGTACTAAGCAGGATTGCATAAATCGATGTTTGAAATGCAATGAAGAGGTAACTCTTATACAAAACTATTTGTTATAACGAAATTAACTTCTTTATTCAATCTATAGAAATCAAAGCAAAGTATATTACTAGCATGTAATCTTACGTATCCATTTCAAGTGAAGGAGGCCGACCAATTTAATTTCGGTTCTATTCTTAAATGCTCACTTAGTATGGAAAAACACATTCAAGCTTTTTGTGAAAGTTGTAGAAAATTCTTTCCAACCAAACAAAGTGTAAAGGTAGATACCAATGATGATACTAGAAAACAGTTTTGTTTTTTTGCGCAAAGTTTTCATGATAAAAATGTTTCTATACTTAAGGTTACCTGTCTTCCACAAATATTGGCAATCAATTGCGGTTTAAATAATGAAAAAGACTTGCAATTCCTTCGAAGGCAGTTGAATCGTCATTTAATAACTCCTACCGAAAGTCCAGTAATATTAAACACAACCAAGCCATGTCGGTATGGTAACAATTGCTCACGAGGTGATTGCCATTTTGTACACCCGGATAGGTAAGTTTATATTAACCTCATTTAAAATTCAAAATAAATGAGGTGCTTTTAATTATCGTTGAATTTCTATTTAGGAAATCACCCACAGCCAATAGCTCAATGACTCAAACAAACATGTCTCCAAAAAGTCAGAATTCGTGGTTCCCTTTAAGCTTTTCGATGTCGATCAGCGAACAAGGTGAACTTAGTGTTCAGACCGAGCATAGTAATACGAAAGCTGAAGAGGTAAGTAGATGAAGCATTATAATGATATATATAGGATTAAAATTTTCTTTCTGTTCACAGCATAGTTTTACTGAGAACAAAGAAAATCGAAGAAGCAATAATGAGGTAAACACTGCGGGGAGCGAAAGCAATGAGACAGAGAAACCGCAAAGCACAAATGGTAAGAGATTAGACAAAGAAAAAAAGCAAAGGTGAATTTAAAAAATATTCGTTAGACCATTAGCAACATCAAGTCATGATTAGGAAGTCAATGAATTCAAAAGCTCTTCCCAATGTAGAAGTGTGCGACCCTATAAACATCAGAAGTGGAATATTTTAATAATAAAACCATCGACTTACCTATAAATCCCAAATTCGCCAATAATATGTAGGAAAGAATTAAATTATAGTACGGAATAGCAATATCTTGGAGCTAAGTAAATTGTTTATTGTATTTGCTCATTTACGAAGTTTTATACTCCATATTTTATAATTGCTTTAGTTGAGTAATTTCAAGACCACCTGACATTTCGTCCAATAATCTAATATAATGTATATACATATATATATAAATGGCGCTTTGTAACCTCTGAAGCGATTTTCGGCAGAGCTCCTCCAGTTTGTGGTTTTGCATCTTGATGGTTTTCCAACAAATGGACGGACAGAAATACACTCGGAGGGGTTGATATTCTTTATCAAGGAGACAACATTTAGAAAATTTAACTTAATTTTTTATTTAAATTAATTTTCTATCCCTTTGGGATTTTGTTCGAATTAGGAATTGAACCCAGGTCCTCCGAATGGCAGTACGCAATGCTAACCACTCGACTACCGCTGCCGCCATTGTATGTTATTCGGCTTAAATTAAGCCGATGGCAGATAGAGCTTTGCGCCACATTGTGCGTTTTAGGTGAATACATGGAAATCTCTTAAAATCAACGCCGCCGCAGTGCTAAGTTTTTCCATACTCACAGCTTTGTGCTCACGGTGTCCATTAGCTAATTTAAATTTCCAATAAGTTCTATGGAACTGGAAAACTTTAATTATTCCATAAAAATCTGTGATTTTACCTTTTTATAAAGATAATGGACACTGAAAATATCAATGATTTATTTGTGATCGGCTTTAGAATTTAGATTAAATTTCTTACCCTTTTTTCAGCTGCTTCCAACGGTTCATATAGGGAGTATGCACTGCACGCAGTGGTATGTCAAATCGACGACGGCTGTCAGAAAAATTTGGTCTCGCTGATTAATGTAAGTAAAAACTATCATTCGATAAAACTGGCAGCAAGTGGCAACAGTGCTGATGAGCAACAACAGTGGTACATTTTCAATGATTTCAGGTATGTGAAATTACAGAAAAAAATAAAAGTTAATATTTTTTATAAATACTTTCAGCATTTCACCCGTTTCGATTCAAGAGTCTGTTTGGTTTACACTTGATTGGAAAGTGCCGTGTGTACTTTTTTACAGCAGCATAAACACGGAAGTGTCAACAAATGAAGCTGCTAAAAGTGATATTCCAACCAACAGTGCGGAATCGGATCTGCCTCAACATAACCCATTTCTACAAGTAAACTAATATAATTTTTAATTTCTTATATTTTTATTTTTTTCACTTTTTTTCCAAAGAAAAATAATTAACCTGGTTTTTAGTTGATGTTGTTTTGTTAGGATGCTAAAAAATGATTTAATTCACCATTTATACTATATTACCTTACCCTTATTGCAGGATATATCAAATCCTGTACAGCTAGCGTCAGCGCCAGCGTCAAGCAGCATGGGCGAAGTTATATATAAGCCATTGCAAATGAATGAAATGCCACAGGCAGGTGATTTGGTCGCTATGGATGCTGAATTTGTCACATTGAATCCCGAAGAGAACGAAATACGTCCGGATGGCAAAACAGCAACCATAAAACCATGTCACATGAGTGTGGCGCGTATTTCATGTATACGCGGGTAAGCGGAAAAGCAGCGCTGTCGTCTCAAAACCATAACAAAAACACATAAAAACAATCTTCTAAGTAATTGTGAAATTGTTGTTGCATATCGTCGGTGTGTGCGGGCGTATTTGAAGTTGGATGGTGCAAGCATAAATTGGTTAAAATCTAACCCAAATGCACACCAACTATTTGATATGCCACAACAGTTTCAGAAATTACTCGAAACACTAAAATCTTCCTTTGTTTGTGTATATGAGTGTTATAAGTTTATTTAATTAGAGCTCATAAATCAATTATTTCTTGGTGTTGCTTTGTACTAATTTTTACATGCCAATGGAATTATAAATACGTTTTTTTTTTTTTTTTTTTTTTTTTTTACAAATAGAAACAATTTTATATGCTTTGTAAATGTCTTGTAAATATTTTTTGCCTATTTATTTTTATTATTTTTTTTTTTTTGTATTTTTTGTGTTGCCTCCAGCCAAGGTCCCGATGAGGGTGTACCTTTCATGGACGATTACATATCAACTCAAGAGAAAGTTGTCGATTATCTAACTCAATTTTCGGGCATAAAGCCGGGTGATTTGGATGCGAACTTTAGCAGTAAACGTCTGACGGCGCTTAAGAATTCATATCAAAAGTTGAAATTTTTAGTGGATGTTGGTGTCATATTTGTTGGACATGGATTGAAGAATGATTTCAGGTGTGGTGAAATACTTGTTTTCATAAAAATGTCTCATTTTCAGCTTACTTATATCATTGAGGAATCACGCAACAAAGAGAACAACACTTTACAGAAGAAGAAAAAACTAGCGTGATCAAGAGCTTATCAGAGTGAACGTTATGGCTTTTAAGAGGATAATTGGCTGGAGATACAAATATTTGGTGTAATATTGCTACAGCTTTTTATGCAGACACGGAAAGGACTTGTCAGTTAAAAAAAAAGTTTGGGTTTTTTTTTGTTTAAAAATAAGAAAAAAACTATATTTTTCATTAGAGTACCTATAGCTGAGTACAACAAAATATTGACTACAATTTTTGCGCAACTTAAATTTGAGTGTCTAGGTATCCAGAGAAGTTGTTATTTGGCTTAAAAAATTAACCAGTGCATAAAGTTTGTTTTAAAGGTTTTACAGTCTGCGCTGCAACTTGTTTAGTCTAAATACAATAACATTAAATATATGCAATCAACTTTTCCTTTTTTCCAGAGTAATAAATATTTATGTGCCGTCAGAGCAAATTATCGACACCGTACATCTCTTCCATCTGCCACACCATCGCATGGTATCACTAAGATTTCTAGCTTGGCATTTTTTGGGTAAATATGACTTACTCTTATTTAGAGAATTTTATGTAAACTAACAAAATTTTTCTTCTTTCTTAAGGCATTAAAATCCAATCTGAGACACATGACTCCGTTGAAGATGCGCGCACCACCCTGCAACTATACAAGCATTACCTGAAATTAACGGCGGAGAAAAAATTCACAAGCGCACTGAAAAATCTCTACGATCGTGGCAAACAGCTGCAATGGAAAGTGCTTGAAACCGAATGAATACTGAATACAAATGCGTGTTAGCGCACGGAAGACTGGTGGCAATTTTTTTTTTTTTTGGATGGGATGGATGCGTGGATTGGCTGATTGTAATTATAAGAATGAAAGCTTTTCATAGAGGTGGTGTATAAAGTGCCGTTTAGCTTGTGCGACAGAATCTGACTCATTCTTATTGAAGATGAAGTGCACAAGCATATTATCTATACACACACAAATACACAACGCTATGTTTGTAAGTTTGTATACAATTGCAAAACATCAGAAAATCACTGACTACTTAAGAATACAGCGCAAAAAAGTACAAAACCGACACCGAACCGCGAGAAACAACAAAAGCAAAAAAAAAAAAAAACAAAAAAAAAAGAGGACATATATAAAAACTACTTTGTTATTCCATTTTTTAAACTAAAACATGAAATATTAAAAAATTAAGAAGAAAAAAAGCTGAAAAGAAGATTTTTAAACGATGAGCTACACTATTTTCTCATACATACATGCATATATATGTTTGTTTTTAAACAAAACTCTATACTTCGTGAGAAAAATTGCGACACATTTTAAGACTTAATATTCATTTTTATTTTATTTGTTTAATTGTACAGTCCAAAAGTTAGAGTAAACCATTTATAAAAAAAATAAAAGGAAAAACATAACAATCATACCTATGTCCATTTTGAAAACTCAACTATGTCTTCAATAAACAATATATATATATATATATATGTATGTATATTTAATACAATCACATTATGACATCGATGACCCCATGAGCAGACAACACTTATTTTTGCGTATTCCAATATTTATTTTTAGAGAACTACAAGAGATATCGAAGGAAAAAATCAAATTATATTTTTGAAAAGTTAAATAAAATCTTTTTATATATACATATATTTGAAAAATCGTTTTTCTTGTTCATTAAAAAAAACTCAAACACGACGGCTACTATGAATCATGAATTTCTATGAACCAGTTTTTTAAAACCACTGAAAATGTCATGTCAACCGAACTTTGTGCGGACAACCGACAAAGGTCCAAAATTATAGAAATTAATTTTAATAAAATTAAGTTAGTTTTACCAATTGCGGCTACTTCGGCAATGATTGCTAACCTTTCCGAGCTTTTCATAAAAATCCTACGATCGTTCGGAGGCGACTTAAAATAAACGGGATAATTTGTTGAAGAAACAACAAGACGGGGACCTCAAATTCAAGAATGGCTTGGACGAAACTCGTTGTAGCGATAATAAAGCGCCTTATATATATATATATGGTCATGTTGCCAATTTAGGTTTGAGTGACTGAGATACTGTCAATTCTTTTTATTCAACTGACTTTCGTTTGTCATAATTGTTTTAGGCTTCCAAAGACTTTACTTTTTCTCCTAATCTTTTATTTGAGTTAAACCAAATGTATTTATGGCTAAGACTTGATGAATGAAAGTGTGGTCCCAGCAGCGCTTGAGAATATGAATAAATCATACAAAATACCAGTTTCTAAGAGCTCTGCTATCTTTTACTGTACCCAGAAGATCAATGGTGAACTTGTCATGCACAGAAATGCTAGATACTCTAATGACCACCCACTTCCCTGTGTGCTCTGATGAATGTGATGCTTCTCTAAGCAGCTCCCAGAAACTAAACTATTATTGAATCGGATACGAAGATTACCGTAAATCGAAATAGGGTGGAATGGCAATAAGATCTTTCAAATCTTGCAAATCTACACAGTTAAATGGCTGAACTGCAATGAACAGTAGATATCTTCCCGCCCTTGTTATGTCAAATTTACTGTTCCTGTGTCTCCATGGGTCATACTCCTACGACAAAAGTAATCTTCATACCATAAAGCAGACTAGTTATATCAATCCACTGCTTTGGTGTCTCGCAATTAACACCCTGCTTCGTGCCTGTCTATATGCTGTCCTGTACAGCGATTATTGCACCAGTTGTTGGATTGTGTCCTTTAAATCTACTACTCCTTCTCTGATATGCCTGGGTGGAGGTTCAGTCTCAATTAAATGTCTGTTGGAGTACTCCGTCGTTGTGGCTCTGGAGTTTCACGGCGATTCCGAAGTGAAGGAGCGCAGGCTATCAAATGGAACTCCCAGTAGCTTTGGGTTGCTGAACTTAGATGGTGTGTAACAGTTGGAAGCAGTAAGGCCCCAAGTGTCTTTGATACTGGGGAAAGGAGAGACATCCTTTGTTGGCGGGTAGCGATACAACCCTGCCCATTTTTCTCACGAGTTTTTTTAGGGTGGTCAAAGGTAGATTGAGAACATTGAAGAGGAAGTCTGCTTCCGCTGTTCATAGATGTTTTACGATCAGTATGCTTATTGCGTCAGTGCAGATAGATTTGGAGGCTCTCGCCTTCCTGATGAACCCTTGAACCTCTTCCCTGTTCGGCAGTTTGCGCAAATGGCGGGTTACGTTCTGCGTCCTAATATCATACGCTGATTTCATCGCCCTATGACGACTGGGGAAACACCCCCCAAGTTTTAAACAATCTACTTCAAAATTATAGTTAGAAATTTCTCTTGAAATAAAACCATATTCGCTCGTGTTGTGAGGCATGTGGCAAGTCGTGTTCCTCAATTGAAAAAAAACGTCGGCTGACATTCGACCATAACGCTCCTAAATGACAGGGACAACCTCGTCGAGAAGTAAGGTCCCTTCACACCTCCCTAGCAAAGGGTGCACCAAACTGTAACAAACTGGACAAGAAAGATATCCATCAAAAATTCGCGTGAACAGTAGAGCAACATTGTTTTCTGGCGGCTCAAAGCTCAATGGCAGGGTGGGTTAGGAAGTTCAGTCTTAACCACTTGCAATCGACAATAACAATTTGAACTAATGGCAATAATGGAAGCCCCTTCACGGTTGCTCAACTTTAGTAGATATTCTGACAGCCAAGCTTCCGTTAAGTCTCTTCACTTCTAAAATCGGTAAAAGCAAGGTCAATAACAGATACAGGTGAAACCACTAGCAATATAATTAGGCATAGCCGGCCATTGATCGATGTAAAAATAACTAGGTCTTTACTCCTTCTAAACATAACCTCCACGACCATACCAACCAGGGTAATAAACGAACACTTTTTGATAGAGACTTAAGGTGGAACGATAGAATACTTCTCTGATGACTTATATCGCGGAGACTTATACGAAGGAGAGCCAGTAGAGCACTAACCCTGCGACAGCCCCACCCTAAGTGCGACCCGACATGGTTTCCTCAGTAATTTCTGCTTTGATTGCAGAAATTCGTCCTCTCCACGAATGAAGACCAAACTACAAGTCGCTACAAGTCATTCCCGACCTATTGTATGGAATGGAGGCATGAACGGCAACAACATCGGATGAGTCGGCATAAGAAGTTTTCATGAGAAAGGTTTTGCGTAAGAAATATGGTCCTATACGAGTTGGGAGCGGCGAATATCACAGTCGTGGCAGCGGGATCACGTGGTCCAGATGAATAAGAATACTCCAACTTTGAAAGTTTTTGATACAATACCCGCTGGTGGAAGCAGAGCAAGAGGAAGACCTGGTAGCAAAGTACCGTACTGCACCTGATATTTCCAATTGGCACAAAACTGCGAAAAAAAGAAATGAATGGCGCAATTTAGTTAATTTGGCTAAAAACGCGTTAGCGATGTCTACGCCAGTAAAGAAGAAGAAAAACTTTTTTTGGTAGTCTGAATTTATTAAAAAAAGGAAAATATTCTTCAACGCTAATGTTAATTTTCAAAAACTAAAAACATTAAATTCAAATATTGTCATAGTCTTCGTCTAATTCCAAACAAGAATTCGAATTTTTACAATTTGTATTCAACGTAGTTGTTCCTGGTACAGTCATTTTTGCCATTATATCGCTCGAAGCTTTAAATAAACTTTTACAACTGCCACCTTGATGGCTATTAGTCGACGTCGATGCAGCGGATGATGACGGTGAACAACTAGGCGACGACGCCGAAGATGATGTGATCTCTTTAATTGTATTGTTAGAGTCTATTTTACAATCTGATCGATTTAAGGGCGGATTGGCGGTCGGTGGTGTCGCTATGGCAGCACACATTTTGCTGGACGCACTGCTAAGCGTTGTTGCAACAGTTGTTGCCATGTCAGCTGGTAAAGCGCCAATGCTTATTGTTGCTACTGCAGCTGTGGACGCTTTATTGTTAGCACTAGCGATTTTATTATCACCACTGTTCGTCACGATGTTGGACAAATCAATGTTGATGATGGGTGCGGCATCACTAAAATTATAACTAGTGGCATTTGTCACAGGTGCACTCAATGGTACATTGCCCACAAGCGGCAAATTGCTGTAATCGATCTTCACCACGGGTTTGTTACAGAGATCATAGCTGAATATAGGCGCAGGTATGGCAGTTTGCGAATGTGTTTGTGTCTTAACATTATCACGTTTATCCTGCTTTGCCGCCGATACATCATTACAATTGTCATTATTATTGTTGCCGGGCACTGACTGTGCCTGATGTCGAAGACGCTTCTGACCCACATGCTGTTGTCTATCAGCATTTGGGGCGACATGCCACATATTCTGGGATGATTTGGCAGGTGAGGATTCGGAACGCATTAATTTCAAAGGTTGTACGTAATTACCATAAGCAGCACTCCTATCTGTTGACGGCAATGTGCTGGGAGTCAAAGTTGCAGGTGCGGATGTTGTGGATGGTGGTAGTGCTGCATTTGTGACTGATTGAGTTTGTGTAACAGACGCCGTATGCATTATGACACTCTGTGTGCTACCAATGCATTGGCGTATACGTTGCCTGACATCTGATTCAAAAGTATTGTTACGGCTGCTGCTGCTGCTGCTGCTGCTGCTACCACTACCATTTTGTGGTGGTAATTGATATTGTGTTTGTTTGTACTGGTAATGTGTTTGTCCACCGTTGATTTTCGGAGTTGTTGGAATCGTGCGATTGTTATTGTTGCGCCCACTTGACGTGGACGGCATACTCAGATCGAATGGTGTATCCGAATCGGGATAAACATCTTCGGGTGAACTCTGGCCGTCCAATTCATTGTAGTTGGCTGCTTCTTCCGCCACACTGATGTCAGGCACATTCTTCACCAACTCACGCAGGAAATCGAAACGCTGTTCCGACATGATGCACTGCTTCAGATGGGATGTGGATAAGGTTTTAGCATTGCGAGAATTTGTTATTCTCAATGTCTTGTTTAAAAGCGATTCCACAAACAGCTCTAATGTTCTAGGTATATATTACGAAAAAAAGAGAGAAAATCAAGAAAGCATTTTCAAGAGTTTAAATACAATATGACCGTTAAGGAAACCCAAATACTATTTCTTTCGTTTTGCCTATACATATAAAAACGTTTAATACTTTAAATGAAATGTTACAAATAATAGCTTGGCGAGCAATACCGCTTATACGCGAAATGCAATATCGCATATACGGCACTTGCCAAATTTTACAGGAGAAGGCAAAAATTATTTGTAACAAAAATGCAGCAACATCATTTGAATAAAATTGTATTTATTAAGAAATAATGTATTGCATTTTTGTTTTTTTAGCTTATTTATGTTTTATAGGCGGTAATGGAAAATTAGCATGTCCACGTAAGTGAAGTATAGAAGTTATGTTTAAAAAAATAGTTTTTCTTAAATTAAGTTAAATTGGTTTTTAGATGAAGAATTAATTAAATTAAATGAGTATAAAAATAAATATGAGCAGGTGTATTTCTCACTAAATAAATATGTAATCAAACAAATTTTAATACAATCGGTGAAGTACCAAATTAACAATATCTATTTATATCAGCTCTTGCAGCATTTATTCTTGGTCAGAAGTATTTCCTATTCTTTAATCTCTTTTTGGCTTAAATAGCAATAGATTTTCTTCCCATAAAGACAGAAAGAAATACATTTTTTTTTTAAACAATTGACTATGACAACTTATTTCATAAACTTTATACAAATGACTTAATAATCGGACCTAAAATACAAACGGTATTGAAGGCAACTTTTTGTTCTCTTGTTTGTTTGTACATGGTATTACTGATATTTTTACTGTTTTTTCGGAAAGGATCAAAGATTTAGAAAAAAAACCATCACGGTCGATGTTTTCTATCCAGGATTAGCAAATAATTTTTTGCCCTTTTCGCATAAACGCGTTATTGCATTTTGCGTATACGTTGTATTGCCCGCCAAGCGACGAAATGCATATATAGACGTGTCGTGTTTCGCATATTAATACTGTTTTCTTTAGTTATAAGACTACTTCGGAAGTCTTATTCTCCTAGATATAAAAAAGTGAGGTACATATGTACATGCATATGTACTACATATATAATATGAGAATATATGCTTTTTCGTACAAATATGCATAAATAGATAGTACGTATGTAAAAATCTATTTTTTTTAATTGGCTGAAACATATTCCTATATTAATATTCATGTATATTAACGTGAGACAGATTTTGAAGTCATACCAAATAGTTTACATTTAGTCACGTTCAATTCGGATTTTCTTATACCCGCTATAACATTTCAATACAATGAAAGGGATTTCAATCGCTACGTTTAATATACGATTACTACGTAACAAGGAATATTTTTTGTTTTCTTTTGTGTGTAGATTAAAGAACACGATGGAGTGCTTAGGAAAATGAAAAAATGTAGCACAACTCCACACAATACATATTTAAAACCGTGATTGTCCCTTGCGAAATATTGTTAAGATTGGTATATAAGGTTGCGCTGAAAAATCTAGACTATTTCAACTTAATAATTCATTTGTGTTGATAGATTTAAGTTTAAAAAGGATATAAATTATAACAGGAACAGCTTGGGCCACCTTTCCAATCTCTTCGTCACTTTGCATAATTTTCTTGATGCGACCCTGTAAAAGAAAAATAAAAATCTTATCACATATTTATTTCCGCTGCAAAATACGAAAGGGCATTAATGGGTGTGTGTGCGTATGTCGCGTGTAATTTTTATGCGCGCAACTATCGTCTGGAATAAACGCTAGTGGCACGTAGCATTAGGCATCACAGACGCTGTTGGATCGCATCAACAGAAACAAAAGCTTTTATTGTTTTCGGGCAATTGTTTTTTTTTCTCAATTTTCACAGCATTCACACTCCCATCCATTCACTTCCTTTACTATATTAAAGTATCGTATGTATGTAGCACTTACCGCCGGAAAACGCGCATTGTATTTCTTCTTCTTCGAAGGCATGTTGAAATAATAAACTTATCGCTTTTATCAATCTTTTTTCGTAAAGTAGCAACAAACACAATACTATTAGATTTACTGATCAATAATTCGAATGCTTGGATATCTACTTATAACTTTGCTGCTGCCACCGCCAACGTTCGCCAAAATTACTACTTCCTCAACGTAGTTGTTACCGATGACAACGTCAGCGCTGGCGTTGGCAGCGTCACAGTGCTTGTATATTTATTGGTTTTGTTGTTCTAATTCTAAATGGAGGGGTTGCTGTTTGTAATGTGGCTATTGTACAACTGAAGCACTTTTGACAGGTTACTAGAAAAGCTTTTTATTTTCACGTCACGTTAAATAAGTAAAAAAAATTGAAATTTAGTAGAAAAATGATAACACAGTTAATTGTTTTTCCTGTAGTTAAAAATTCTAGACACGAAAAATTGACACGGCTTAGATTTTCTTCTATTTGATATGACGACCAAAGCACAGAGAACGTAAATATATGTTTTACGTTCTCTGCCAAGCACAGCTGTCAATTCGATTAACAGAGTTGTATCAGGGAACGTATATAGCTGTAAGTAATCTGGTTAGTGCTATCCATTGTTTTAGTACTAGCATAAGTACGTAACGTAACGAATCACGTCATATAGGGAATGGAGCAATTAATTTATATAAATAAATACGGAGATACGTATTAAAGCAACTTCGGTATGCATGCAAAAAATTAAATTCAGGATTTTAAAGATACAGCCGTTAGAGAAAGTGACAACCTGTGGACAAACATTAATCTTTGGATCGTGTTGACGACTAAATTTTTGCTGAATTACATTGCTTTCAGTTTATTTTTATCTTCTCATTTTATCTTTCAATCAATCATAATGCTACATAAGCTAAATTTCAATTTTGAAATGATAGTTTGATCCTAGTTTCACCATAACACAAAATAAGAAGAATCAGTCTTAAAAAATTGTATTTGTAGAATCTATTTAAAGAAACTTTGAATAAGTGTTAAATTTATATACCGATTTATTCAAATCAATTCTGCACATATGGTAGCATTAACTTTGGGGCGCACCGCAAAAAGCCGATAGTAGAAAGAAAATTTTTGTAAATAATTATAAATGATTTATAAATATAAAATAAAAATTCTTTGATGTCTAGTAAGCGTAAGGATCCTTGTAAAGCTAACGCATGTAAAATACAGGCCTGCTTGAGTGGTAAGTAATTTGTATCACATGAATGTAAAAACATTCTAACTAATGCGTTCTAAAGCTAAATCTTATATAATTCCAATTTGTTTCCAAAGAAAACCATTATCAGGAAAATAAATGCTTGGAGGTTTTGGAGCAAATGCGTCTTTGTTGTTTAAAGTGGCATAAGGAATCAAATTGTTGCTCTGGTATAATTTTAGATAGAAGTTATTTGCCTGAAAAAGAACAAAAACAGAAGTGATACCAGCAAAGATAATTGCAATCCCCGAATTAAAAAGGTAAGCATCTGCACTCTCACCTCGTTATAAGCATAACAATAATATTGTTATTATGTTAGGACTGTAGCCAAACAAGTCCATTATGTGCTGCTGAGGTTGAGATGTTAGTACAATCTTTTCCCAAATACTACTGAACTATGTAAAAAAGGCTTTGGTTAATCCAAAAGTATTAAATCGATGAATAAATCACAATCTGCTTTGACAAGGTGTTTCATCAATTATTAGAAATATTTATTTAATAATTTGTGTGCTTATTAGACTAATGTATTGGCGTGAAATAGTAATTATAGTTATTGAACATCTCAGCTTTCTTATAAGACTGTATTATATGAATATACACAGTTTTACTATTTGTGCCTGTAACAAACTCAGAAGAAAAATACATCAAAATAAAATTTAACGAAACCAATTCTATAATCTTAATAATATCAATGTATATTCATCAAAACTATTCACTTGTAAATTAAAAATTCGTTTCTTTCAGTGAATAATGCAAAAGCCGCCAATTCCGCCCTACAAACTATCACCGGAAGTACAAGAGAGAATAAAACAGCTACAACAACGGACACAGCAAGACAGTGGCCAGCGGCGTCGTACAGCTGTGCTGCCCAAACGGACTTGGATACAACGCAATCCAAGGCTATTTCAAATAACGTTTATTACCACATCGCTCTTAATACTTTTTTCACGTCCTTTGTACGACGTCTTTATTGCAGATCCTATACCACCACCGCGCGGTGGAGCACCACCAGGCCATAAGCGTTAAGTAAGAAAATAACGAAAGCCCGGTAGAATTCAATCATACACAACGAACAAAAACATCGGTTTGTGTTATTATAAGAGTAATGGAATCAGTGCGAAAAGCCAAGCAGAGACTACGCAACTATCCCGTGCTACTGGGCAAATGCGCTGATAAAGCAGCAATTTACGCGGCATGTGTAACACGAGATTTAAATGTGCAGCATCATATTTGCGATAAGGAATTCAAACAGTTCAGTGAATGCGTTCAGAAGGCCGCAAAAGAAATGAAAACTAAATTGTAAAAGCTATGTGTTGCTCGATTTGATTGTTATAAATGGAAAATTTTCAAACCGACTACTGTTGATAATATTTATGAAATGTTGAAGAAAATAAGATTAATGGGTTAGTAAAAATGAAATTTGGAATAGAATACACACTATACAAGCAACTGTTAAATAATATTAAAATTCATATAAATATCTAATACGAAGTAAAATCAAAGCTGTAAGATACCTCAGCAAAATCAGCCAACCCAAAAAAGAACTAACTATATTTATGTACATATTTAAATTAATGAATAATAATTAAGAAATAACATTTAATTGTATAAAAGCCACCCGAAGCACAGTTCTAACATGTCCAAGTCCAACTCTTCACTAAAAATAACTAACCATCTACCTACACCGCCTTTAATACGACGCTGCACCACACTTCTAATAGAGCTCAGCTTTCGCACACATCTGCTTATATCCATAGTCTTGCGTCTTGTGCTCATCGCTTATGGCCATTGGCATGATGTGCACTCAGAGGTGCCTTACACGGACGTAGACTATAAAGTAGTCACGGATGGCGCACGACATGTGCTCCAAGGTGGCACCCCTTTCAGCAGGCATACCTATCGCTATAGTCCGATTTCGGCATATATACAAATACCAAATATACTGGTACATCCAGCCGTTGGGAAAGTGATTTATTCAGCATTCGACATTTTCGTGGCGATATTAATTTATGTACTCGTACGTCTACAGCTGCAAGTGCAATGCCGTAAAGCTGTGCATGCCTTATTGAGTAAGTTTGGCAAAATAAGATCTGCACAGCATTACAATGAGACTGATGCACGCAATAAGCCGGAGAATATAGCACGTGCCTCGGCTTGCTTTTGGCTATACAATCCTCTGACAGCAGTCATTTCGACCAGAGGAAATGGCGATAGCTTCTCGAGTTTCTTTGTTATATTAGCAGTATACTTGCTTGTGAAATCTGAAGTCACAGAACGAGGTGCGAATTGGTTGATATTCACAGCGGGCTTAGCGCACGGCTTTGCTATACATCTGCGGCTTTATCCACTGCTCTTCAGCCTCGCCTACTATCTCTGCTTGTCGACGAGCCTAGCGCGTAATACACGCGATTTTCTACGACAACTGTTATTTCCCTCATACAGACAATTGCTGCTGGTACTTGGCACATGCATTGCACTTTTTGCCGTTACTGGATTCTTTTACCGCCTCTACGGTTGGCAGTACATATACGAAGCGTATTTGTATCACTTTGTACGACGTGATGTGCGACATAATTTTTCGCTATACTTCCTCTTACAATATCTCAGTGGAAATGCCACAGAGACCTCGCTTATAGAGAAACTACTTATATTGGCGCCACAACTATTTTTACTGCTCTACTTAAGCTTCAGTTTTGGACAGTTTCGACAGACATTAACCTTCTGTGTGTTTGCACTGGCGTTTGTTATGGTCACCTTCAATTCGGTGGTCACTTCCCAATACTTCATTTGGTATTTGGCACTGTTACCGCTTTGCCTCAACAATTTACAATCGATTTCGGTCAGGCGTGCATTTGCCTACTTTGGCGTATGGTTGCTGGGACAGGTTCTTTGGCTATTGCCGGCATATCTATTGGAATTTAAAACATGGAATACTTTCTATTGGATTGGAGTGCAGGGTGTTTTATTCTTCTTAATCAATAGTTATTTACTAATGCGTCTGATTGAACACTACAGCTTTACATCATTTAAGGTGAACTTCAAAAAGCTATTTTAATCATAGAATATTTTATACTACAACTAAACTCGTATTTATTAGAAAAAAAAACACACACACACACATACATATATGAATACTTAAATACATATATGAATTATAACAAAAATTAAAGGTAAAACAAATCAACTGAATACTTAAGCATTTGCTTAGAAAAGTATTTTTTAAATTATATATTAAAATTACAAATCTCTTTTTCATATGCGTTAATACTAATTACAATAAAAATTATAAATAAACAATACAATAAAATAAAAGCTTTAATGTGAATACAAATCGCAAATAAAATGCTCATTTCTATCTTTATTTGCCACGAAGCCTGCACTGCTAATACAACAGCAACCAAACACACACCCATTATTACTAAAGCCCCGGCCGATTATGTCCAAGCTTATCACAAGTAGAGCATGTGGTCACTGTCCAGACAAACACTCTTTAATCCGTTGCAAGTCGGCGTTTGTCTTCAAGGCATACCAATCTAGCGCACATTAGCCAGCTTAGTGCCAATTGCTTCACAAAAGCATGCCGTCATGGTGTTTGTACTACGTACAACAACTACGAACAACTATTGCAATTGACACATGTGCATGTGAAATATGCAAATTTATTATAATGCTATAATCATGGCAATTTATTTTTATTTTTTATATTAATTGTTAATGTACGATCGGTTTTAAGATTATATGTATGTACTTTATGCAATATATGGAAATGTGTACCAACGTAAGCACGTTCACGTTTTTCTTCATCTATAAATAATCATTTTAAAAATTGATCACATTTTCAAAACATGTTATTGAGATTCTTTACTCGTAAACAAAAACAACATTTCTAATATATACAGCTATGGACAACAATTTAGCACACTAGTTCATTGTGGGAAAGAATGCTCAATAATATTATATAAGGTTGTCAAATATCTCCCTTCCACCTTTTTGCTCTTCATTCAATGCTTTATAAAAAGTGTTACAGTGATCGGCTTTAGTTAAAATATGCGCCGTTTTGTTGAATGACCTGTTTCCATCTAGACGGCAACTTCATAATACCTTCCTCGTAGAAGCCCCCCTCCTTATTTGCGAAGAATTCGGACAGCCACTTTTCACAAGCCTCTTTTGAGTTCAACTTCACACCACCAAGGACATTCGCCATGGATAGGAACTGGTGGTAATCACTTGGCGCTACGTCCGGGTTATATGGTGGATGCGATTAAACCTCCCATCCGAGCTCCCGTAGCTTCTGACGAGTCATCAACGAAGTGTGTGGTCTGGCGTTGTCCTGGTGGAACACTACACCCTTCCTGTTGGCCAATTCTGGACGCTTCTGGTCGATCGCCTGCTTCAAGCGGTCCAGTTGTTCGCAGTAGATGGTAGAATTAAGCGTCTGGCCATATGGGAGCAGCTCATAGTGGTTGATTCCCTTCCAATCCCGCCAAACACACAGCAAAACCTTCCTGGCCGTCAGTCCCGGCTTGGCCACTGTTTGGGACGATTCACCGGCCTTCGACCACTACCGTTTTCACTTAATTTTGTCGTATGTGATCCATTTTTCGTCGCCAGTCACCATCCGCTTCAAGAATGGGTCGAGTTCGCTCCGCATCAGCAGCATATAACAGGCGTTGATTCGGTCCAGAAGGTTTTTTTGCGTCAAATTATGCGGCACCCAAAACATCAAACTTTTTTTTGTATCCAAAATGGTTTGGTGACTAACTCCCATCTCCTGGGCGATGTCACGAGATGCCATATGCCGGTGTAACTCGATGTATTCCATGATTTGATCGGTATTTATCGTTACAGGTCTTCCGCCGGCTGGCTTATCCATGGTGTCGTTTTCACCGGCTCTGAATCGTCGAAACTCCACGTTTCGAAGTGATAGAGTACCATCACCCAAAACACCATTAATCTCACGGAACGTTTCTCCAGCGGATTTGCCTTTAACGAAGGAAAACTTTAAAATATCGCGAATTTCTGCGTTAGTGAACTTCATGTTTACACGTCTATAACTGTTGAACGCAATATTCAAATCATACATAGCGTTGTTTTGTAGGTTATGTCAAGACCTTTCAAATTATGTATAGTGTTGCCAGATACGAGCTCTGTAGCGCTTTGTACATAGCCGCGAAATTCAAAAGACAAAAAAGCGGAAGGGAGATATTTGACAACCTAATATTTAATAAGAGTAAAGCCGTTATGCTGTACAAAATTCATTTATTAATTCTTTAGACGCTGAAATAACTTAATTTAGATGATTTATCATTTTAAAATATGTAGTGAGATACAGTAATGCTGCTTTGGCCACAATCTACTTTGGACAAGCATTTAGCGCACTTTCAACGATCTTTAAGTAAAATTTACAAAGAATGAAGTAAAATTCATTGATATTATTATTTATCTGATTAAGACTGAATAATCCATATTTGTTAAGCCTGCTTCATACATGTGGTGTAAGCTCTCTATTAACTTGTGGCAGCTGTCCAAGGATATGTTGTTGTTGTAACCGCAAAAATATTCCCCAAAGTACTTTTTGGGGAATGACATTTCTTGGCCGAATAAAAATCCGTGTCGTTCCGGTATAAAGAGCCGACTGTGGCAGGAACAACTGGATTTTAGTCGCCTCTTACGACAGGCGTGCCTTACCGCGGGTAAATTCTTGAACCCCTAACCCACAGGGAGCTGTCCAAAGGTATAGAGTTCCACGTTTCATACACTCCTGCCTAAAGTTCGTTGCAATTTTTAAATTTTTTGTCCAACTTTAATTTTTATATCATTCCACAAGTTTTTGATTGGGTTCAGGACTGGACTTTGAGTTTGCCAATCGAAAACTTAACTTTTTCTTGAGACAGCTGCTTTTAAACCAAATTTGCTGAATGTTTCGGATCGTTATCGTGCATAAAGGTCCCTTTAAGTGGCATAACTTCGAAGGAATATGGCTCCTTAGTATTTAAATATATGCAAATTTATCCATATTCCCTTTTATCTTAACCAACACTGTGACACGAAAAAGATCTTCAAACTTTTAAATTTCCCCCACCGTGTTTCACGCTTTTTTTTGTATATCTGGGATTGATTTCTTGATTTTTCTTGCGATGTAAATACGTCTCACCATCAGGTCCAAAGCGAATTATATTAGTTGCGTCCGTAAAAAGAATCACCTTCCAAAATTATGAGCCATTCGATATTTTATATATATTTTTTTTTTAAATTATTTTCATTCAGACGTCTTCGCATTAGTCCACTTTTCATATTTAATCTCAATTCCGAGTTCAATTCGGCCATTATTGCAGGTGAAGATATAAAAGGATTTGATTTACTTTTTCTAACAATTATTTTATCCTCGCGGGGGTTGTTTTGCAAAGGGGGGGGGGTTACAAATTTTGTTATGAGATAAAAAATTGAGATCACTATTAACATCCTTGATGGTTTTGTACAGCGGAATATTTTGGAAATTCCCACTTGGCTTGTACCTTTTTTGTAAAGATCCTAAATAAGCTTTCTTCCTTCAACAGAGTAGTCGCTTCCTCTGACCATTTCTTTAAAATATATAAAAATAATGTTTATTTCTTTCAAATTCACAACAGTACCCAATTGTTCGTACACCCGATCCCAAGTGATAATAGAATGGTTGTCCAAAACATTTGCGATGCAGTTTGACAAAACCGAAGCAACAACAGAAAAGGAGAAAGGATAAAGGTACTTTTTTTTGGGATTTGAAGAGATTTTTACACATTAAATGACCAGAAAACTATAACTAATAGTGGGCTAAAACTCTGTCCATAGCTGTATATGTATGTATGCATGTGCATATTACAAATTCACATTCGCTTGTCAAACGTCTTGAGGTCGTTGAGTATATAGCGCAGCAAAGGTCTGGGCTCACATGGTAAGTGTAACGACTCTTTTGATTAAAACCATTAATTGGCTTATAAAGTAGAATAACTCAAATGCGCACCACTTCCCCTGCATATATGTGAAGGGAAATGCTCTCAAGCGATAACATACACGTAATCGATTTAATGATTCCCCGTAGACCAGTTTGGGTAAATGGTTATCAAAAGAGAGTTTAAAAAAACATAGACGCAGTTTTTAATGTTTGATTTTCATCCCCTCACCATGATAAGCGGCATCCGTAAGAACTTTTACGGACGAAACAAAAATTTGAAATCGATTGTTTTTTCTTTTTAATTTCTATAAAATTTTCAAGAATATTATCCTAAGTTTTCAAATCGATCTGAATAAAAGTTGCGGAGACACAGCCTTGAAAAGGTGCTCGCTGAAGGTCAGTTAGTCTCAGCGCTTTAAAGCTTTAAACACGTTTCGGTTGCCAAAAGTTCTCGAAAACTACTTAACGGTTCTGCCTGAAATTCTACACAATTTACGAGGAATCGGACGAAGGGTTTTTCAAGGGTTTTCCAATAGGAATGATATGATTTCTGAGTATCGTTTTGGTCATTTTTAATATGTCTTGATCTGCTATATTTCTCATTGAATTCAGTATTGTTTATAATTTCAACATGGTAAGATATACGCAAAAACAACGTTTACAAACAATAGCAACAGCAACTTGAAAACGATAACGATTTTTTTAAGAAAATCATCTTCTCTGATGAGGCTCACTTCCATCTCAGCGGTGCGGTAAGTAAACAAAACTGTCGATTCTGGTGAACCGCCATTACATTCACCTAAGTTCACAGTTTGGTGTGGTTTTTGGTCTGGTGGAATTCTTTTGGAATGAAGCACCGTTACTGTCAATGGTAGAAGTTGATCTGACCAACATCTGTTTCTATCAAGCACGTGCAACAACCGAATTATTGCGAGAAAGCTTCGGAGATTCGAATATTTCAAGAAATTGTGACATTGAATGACCTCCAAGAAATTGTGATTTAACATCATTAGACTACTTCTTGTGGGTTTATTTGAAGCCATTGATCTTAAGCAATAAGCTTGAAGAGCTTTAAAAGTCATGACATACGACTTGATTTAGTAGAAAAAAAGCTCAAAAATTGGATCCACCGAATTCCTTCCTGAAAAAGAAGTCGTTTAGTCCATTTGAATGATATTGATTACAATCGATTGTGCTTTACATGAATTAAAAAAAAAACATTTGAATTTCTTGGTCCAAACTTCGGATGATTTTGTCATGTTTCTAATCTCTTTTGATGTCATAATGGTTGAGCTTTGTATGAATATTTTCCTATGAAAGTTTCAGAAATTCTTTTATACAATAAATATATTAAAATCAAGTTCAAACTTCACTATCCAATCTTGTCTTCAGCCAAAAGACCCATCCTACATAGTGCCAACCCGCCTGTGCCAAAACCGCCAAGTCAATCAGAAATGTTGGATTCTATTCGGTAGTTTGACCCAAGTCGGCATCATGCGGTATCTGAAATATCGGAGTTGATCTTGCTTTGAAATCAGAAAATCATTCCCCTTTACACTTGCCCATTGGGTGAAATGTTTTGTCCAACTTATTTTGGAACCAACTTCAGGCTATAAAAAGTTAATTTTCTATTTCGGACTCTGTAAAAAGTAAAGCGCGGTCATGTATAATGCCCGAGGAATTAAGAATCTTCTTTTTCATCAATTTATTATAAATCTTGGTAGCTCAAATTCGCTTTTGATCCCATTTGGAACTAACCCGAAGTCTTTGCAAGACAAGGGAATCTTTCCTCGGTAGAAAGAAATTTACCGATGAAATGGGAACTTCAAATTCAGTTTTAACAGCTGAAATTGGTTCGAAAACACCTTAGAAAAAAATCAGCATCAGAATCGCTGTTCCCGAGAATTATTACATACAATACATATGCGTACATAACTTTTTGCTTTGCTGAATTAATGGCTTAATCAATCGTATATTTCAACTGATAAATTTGTTTGTCCGTAGCTGAGCAGTTTTAAATCTTCATGCTCAACAAAAACTTGTTCTTCATAACTCGGCAAATTCCGTACGTCATGCGGATGGTGCCTCTGGTGTCGGTTGGGCGGAAGGAGAGTAACCGTTGGGCTTATTAAATAACCGCTGAAACAACTTTCACCTGAGCTTCTCCTCCATTCTGTCCTTTTCGTTTGTGTTCTGTGATCTTCTTCAGGATTGACAAAAGGTTATGATTTGGGACCTTTTCCTTATTAGAGATGTGGTTCTGAACCCCTTTAAGACCCTCTAATCAATTGCCGATTTACAATATGTGGACATACCCACTATGGGGCCGTTTTAATCGGAATCATTAAATTGTAAATTCTTTTAAATATTTATCAGACGCTCAGGGGTGGCTTAAAACTGTAGGCCGTATTATTTGTAGACGCATACCACGAAATTGAGGCCGCATAAAAATCCATTCGCCTTTTAAAGGCCACTTAGACTAAAAAGTAGGTCCCTTCATTTATTGGAAAAGCATCAAGACGCAAACAACAAATCAGAGCAGAAGTGCGGCCGAATACCGCACCAAGCGCCAATTTTTTTTTACAGCAACAAAGGCAATTATTGGAGGTATTCAAAACAAATCTATTAATACATACATACGAGGGAATTAACAAAAGTTCGGTAAGTTGACCTGACAAAAAATGCTCTTTGTATTTATTCATAATCTTTGTCCTTTTTTATCGCCATTGATTCTTCTGAAAAAAGTCTTCAAAATCTTGGCTTTTAACCTTATCGAGTTCAGCTTTAACCGCATTAATTATCTCCTCGCTGCTATTAAAGGCCTTTTCTTTTAAATGTTTTTTTTTTTTAATTTTCGGATAAAATCAGAAATCAAAAGGTGATTTATCCGAGGAATATGGTGCTGGACGTATTTCTTCGATTCCAGAGATCGCAGTAAAATTACTCGTTATTTCAGCAGTGTGGGCTGACGTGTTGTTATGATGTCAAAAGTAGCGCCTGTTTTCGAATAAATTTTTGGTAGACATTCTTCAGTGTACTTTACGGGTGGGTTCGCTCGTGTTAGGCTCCATACCATGGACTGCTGTTTGGTTTCTGGATCGTACTTATAAAACCAAGGTTCGTTACCAGTAACGATTTTACTAAAGTTGCTTGGCTGACCTTTTTCGAATTTGTTTAGGAAAAGTAGAGCAAAATGCCTTCGAGCCTCTTTTTGGACCTCATCTAAAATTCTTGGTACCCATCCAGCAGATTTCTTCGTGTATCCCAGATGATTTCTTAATACTCGCAATGCAGCCATGGTCAATTGTGGGTCTTCGTCAATTTTGGACCTCACCAGAACTACATTGACGTCATCAGTGGACGATTTTGGTCGACCTTCTCGGGGTTAGCTCTTTCTAAGGAAAAATGTTCGGTCTGGAATCCTCGGAACCACTTAGAAATAGTCTTTAAAGACGGTGCAATCGTTCCATATGCAATTTGGCATTCACTGAATATTTGTATTGACTGTAAATTACGCCGAAACCCGAAGAGGATCATGGCAAATTTATGTTCGCGTTGGTGGTGGATCTATCATGCGTTTTTTCGTCTCCTTTTAAGCCAATCCTTCTAAAATTTGAAAGAAAGACAAATAAAGTAACTGCAAAGGATTCAGTATTTTTATATTGTATTTAACAAAAACAAATTGAAAGTCAACAACTGAGCGAACTTTTGTTGATCCCCTCGTACATATATTTAATTTACGTAAAAATATGAGATTCCCAAAGCAAATCTTATCGTTTTGAAAATGTATATATGTATGTGTATGTACATATTTAGTCTTATTTAAGTACAATTAATACGCAACGGTTTCGGTATGAAACGAAATTCTTGAAATTCTACAAGTCAAAGTGTGATTAAGTTAAATGTTGTCAAGCCGCTTGCGATAACGATATCTGTAGTCAATAGAATCGGGGCCTGTCCATGATGAGCGTTCAAAACAAGACAGCAAGTCAAGTACATTTTGTAATAGTAAAAAGCGTGTTTGGTGCACGAGACTTACTATGTGTATGTACATACATACGAGTATATATATAGTAACCACAGTTTTTTATTTACTTACATATTTATGTATGTATGTGTGTACATATGTGTGAATGCCATATAATGGTCAAATCATGCATCGTTGGGTAAGATGTGATCAAATTTTAATTTTTAGCCGATCTTGAGCTATGCACACCCAGGCTCACATTGATTGAATTTCTGCTCGATACCCAGTGTTCTAAAAAATATGTATGTACATCGGCGGACGATTTGTTTCATGGCTAGCGTGCGTGCGTATGAGCTGGATGCCGTGGTTTTAACAGGTCCAATGAGTTTTTAATGAGCTCGCCAAGCTAGTTTTTCGAATTGTAGGTTTCTTTAAAAGGAAACGCATAACGAAATGGGGAAAATCTCACGATCTCAAACCGTCTTTCATGAGTATTTGATCTTACCATGAACCCTCCCATTCATATATACAATATTACATACATATCTCAATGTGTCATAAAGCGGCGCTCTCATAGGATGTGTCGGCTCAGCACATTACTTTGCCTGGCTCGGTCCTAAGTCGAGTTTGAATCGATTGCAGTATTTAAAAAAAAAACAACACCAGGCGATATAGTATAACCTTTTTCTGTTAGTTTATGAATCATATTTTTGTTTTGCAACACCGAATTTCGCGAAGCAATCGTTGCGAGAAAAAAAGCGAAAGTAAAAGAGAAGAATGAGAATCGATGCGAATTCTGTAAAGCCTCGATGAATATGATTATACTGGTACTATGAGAACGTACATACAACACGCAACGATAGAGCGAAAATAGCACATTGTAGTACTAAATATTAACACATTTGTGCAGCTATTTGAGCCCCTGTTAAAATATCAGTGCGGATGAATTAATTTTCTCGTCTTTTTTCCTCATTCCATGAGAAATGGAAATGCACACAACGACATTTAAAGGTATTTTTAAAGCAAAATGATCGTTTCGGTGTCCTAAGTATTCACTGGTAAATCTAACAACAAGGACCAAGAAAGCCTTAGAATAAATATCGAACCTCTCACTTGTTTCATAAAATAATTTCAATTCAAATTAAGCCTTTGTGAATCTAAACCAAACCTTTTCCAGTTGAAGGAAACTATTTTCAACTTTTTTTTCTCTTTTTCCATTGGCCGACCAACAATGCAAACGATAACACGATACCAAATAAAGAGAAAGTTGCTATGCTAGCTATGTCATGCCACCCACTTGGATAAAAAAAACTCCCACTTTGAAAGTGTTACATGCAGTACACATTGGGGAAAACAGAGGAAGAACAGGTCTCCAATAGATTGGAAAGATCACATGGCGAAAGAATTGACAACGAACTGCGAAATAAAGAAGCAACTGACGTGCTACTTTTGACTTGGCTATAATCGTATAAGCGATTTTTGAATTAAACTATGCTATTGCACGATTGTGCACGAATTCTAGTCAGATAAACATCCAAATTTATAGAAAATTTATTTAAAATATTAAAAAGTGTAGGGTGAACTAACGTGTGCTGGGTAAAGCATGTACGATTCCACTACCATTTATGTATATTAGACTTGTTTGCGTTAACGTGTAGCTATAAATGACTTCTCGTAGGCTCTATTATTCTATTTTGCTATCACAGCTGTGACTTATCGCCGCTACAATTTTTTGTTGTACAACGTCCAAGTCGTCGTCGTCGTCATAGCAAACACGCACGTAGTAAATTGTATAGCTTGTAAATATGCACCTGTGCCTTCGAAACCTCACTGTTAATTATTAGAGAAGGATGGACGCGTGTACTTTTCGTTTACCTACGTGGGACATATGAGTTTACTGTGTATAACAAAACCAATTCTATAACTAATTTGGGAGCAATGTAAATAAAATGAAAAATTTGAATAAGAAATCTTGTTGCAATGATTTGTTATTTGCTGTGCTACAGATACGAGCAAAAGTATTACAAATGGCAGAAAATCAGAAACACTCTCCCATGCAGCTCTTCAAACATACATACATATTTCATCAATCGCTTGCCGACTTCGGTGCATATTTTGGTTAGTACGCTCGCATAGTCAGTGCTCAGACAACCGGCTGCTACCAACATACATTGTGTTGTTACTCTGCAAGTATTGTATTTTGGGCTTTTGTTCACCTGACAATGTTCGGTTCGGTTATGACTAAAAATAAGCTCAACGGCTGTTTATGAAAAAATATTGTAAAACAAGAAAAAATAAATATGTGAATAACAAGTTAACTTTTACACAACCAATACAAATTACTACATTTTTTACACAACTGTTTTTGTTCGTTTATAAATGTCGAATGATGAACATATTGACGTTTGTGATTAAAATGTTTTTATTTATTTTTTTAATGCAACTCGAAAGTAAATAAATAAATAATAAAGTTTAAGTGCGTCCACAAAGCTTTGTCGGTCAATATAAAGGCATACTTGCATACGAGTATATGCGTACATACATACATACATATGAGGAGAATTGAAAAGAAATTTATCTAAAAAACCAGACAAAAGCCAAATTACAAGCAGCCGTACCAACTAATTATATAACTAAAATTGTGTTAAAATAAACAATCCAAGTGCCAGAATGAATAGGATATATCAATTCTTTCGTCACAATCACGTCCTGGCCATATGCGAGGATGCGATTGATAACAAATCGTTCACATTGAATTTGTCACGCTTCGAGATGCCTGACGTACCTGATTTGGTGGAAAAATGTCCTATACTGCTGAAGCTCTTCCTTAATCACAACCATTTGACCAAGGTACGTACGTGCGTTTATTGGTTAAAATCCATGTAGACAAGTATTTAAGTTTGCGTTAAATATGCGTGCCGAAAACTACCCTGTAGGAAAATTTGCCACTTTTAATTATAGTTGTTTTGTTTCGTTGGCTAATACATTTGCATGTGTGTTTGTAGAAGATTTATGTAAAGCATAATCGCGGGTAGCCTATACATACTTTCTTTCAGATTAATGTAAAAAATAGAGTATTTTTGGTTCTTTTGTTAATTTATGGGCAGATAAAAGATATTGTGATCCTCCGTAGATTATTAATTTTCACGAAAAATTTTTTATTTGTGTAAACACATAAATGAAAAGAAGATAATATTGGTAAAAGGTTGCACAATAAGCAAAAAAAAAATTTTTTTTGTCTCTCTCCTATTTTGTTATTCATTTAGACTCCTAATAATTTGATACATTCTATTTTTCCGAGGTCTGGTTGTCTTATATATTTTTACACGTATTGATTTGTTTATATTAATTTGTATGGGGTAGCTCGCACGTATACACAAATGGACTATCAATTTTTTGTTGAGAAGGTCAGGAATGTTACTTTCACCAACACTGGTAACTGAACGGAAATATTAAGAACGGATATGGAAGAACAGGATAGTCATAGAAATTATAAATGCCTAAACAGGGTGGTATTTTTCTTAGTCAAACAGGGAAGGATATAAAGGATATTTTTACTACTATTTTTACTACTACCTCTAAATTCAAATTTTGATAGTTTTTTGGTGGTAAATGCGTATGTACATTTGTACATACAAATATGCTTGTAAAAATAGGTATGCATTCACATACGTAAATATATATTATTTATATACGTTCAAATATGATAATTAGCATTCTCCAAGTCAGGGTTCAATTGCTACTATTTTGCTTTTATAATTTAAATATAGGATTTATATAAATATTCATACATATGTATATATATATATATATATATATATATATATTTTATATTTATAGGCATACATAAGCACATATTTATACTCACATATGTATATACTAATATTAATTTTTGAACAGTTTGATGCAATGGTGATATGTAAGGTGAAAATGTCAAGTAAAGCGGCTCATATCAGAAAGTTTCCACGCCAATGACACCTGTTATATCAATCATAAAATAAATATAAGTAGTGTAGATTACCACAAAAATATATATTTTTTTTTACTGATAATATGTAATTTTATTTACTAAGCTTCATTTGACACATATAAAAATATATGTATATCATATATTTATTCTAACGCTATTCCCAAAAATTGCATTACAGCTGCCACCTATTATTGCCAGTTTGTCACGCCTTCAGGTGCTTACTTTAGACTACAATCGTCTCGATGATTTCCCCATGGTTATTTGCCAATTGACAAACCTGCGTATACTTAATCTTAGCTGTAATCAAATATCTAAGCTGCCACCGGAATTCGGCCATCTAACGCAATTAGAAACATTTTGGTGTAATAATACAGGCTTGTTAGAAATTCCCGAAGAAATTGGAAATTGCCATCGGCTGGAAACAATGGGGGCACGTGGTAATAAATTAAAAAACTTACCTAGCAGTTTGGGATTGCTGAAGAATTTGCGTTGGCTAACGCTTGAGTCGAATGAATTGACTGATGTACCCGCTACTATGGAAGCGCTCGTTAAACTGGTACATTTAAATCTTAAGAATAATGATCTAAATGAAGTACCCGCCTGTCTGCGACATATGCGTAAGCTGCAATACGTATTTCTGAATAATAATCACATACAGACAATTCCCGCGGAGGAAGATCTCTTTGGAACACGATTTGTGCGTATACTCAATCTTAGTGAGAATCCATTATGTGATGAGGAAGCGGCACGTCAACAATTGAGGGTGAGTACTTCTGAAAATAAGTATTCATCTCGGAATGCATGTGTATGATTTACATAAATATATTTTTCATTAATACTTTTAAAAATATGTTTCCAGGAACATTTGCATATACGGTGCTCAGAGCGGTTAGACACGGAGGGCAGACAGCGTTTATCTACACGCAGCAGTGAGCAAAGTGAAGACGACGAGGAGGAGGAGGGTGACGTTTACTCCGATTGGGAGAATAGTATTGCAACTAGTGACTTAGATACAACGGATGAGAGTGGTCCAGAAAATGACTTAGAGGTAGCTAGCCTAAAAAAAATCTAACAATAAATAACTAAAATTTTTAAATTTTTTTTTAGGATATTTCCATGCTTATACCCGAGCTCTCACGATACATAACAAATTTTACATGAGTGAACAAATTACAGACTTATGTATGGAGGCAATACTATGTCCTCATATATGTGCAAACAAACTTATATCTAAAATGCATATCTATAAAAAATTGTTCACTTATTTGCTGGTATTGAATTTATGTGATAAAATCCAAATTTTTACAAATGTACAAACAAAAAAGCAAAGAAAATTTATTTAAACAAAAAAAATTTTTTTATTGAACTATTTATTTAATTGAGTAAGGATATTACTCGTAAGAAATGCATTTACAACATTTACATTCACATATTCTACTTTTGCACAGCAAAACATTGTATTGGTTTTCCCGACAAAACTATCACAAGCAACAACTTAAAACATATTCAAAAGGTTGTTGGAAACCAGGCTATAGTTCGTGTGATAGGACATCAAACTTAAAACTATTTGTTGTTAAATAATAGATGGTTTTGCTAACTGGGGTATTTTATGATTTAACCGGACATCTTCTTCATGAGTTCCTCATCTTGTATGGACATAGCGGTTAGTTTCTTGCCAATTTTCTCATGAATATCTAAGTATTTGGCGACACAGCGATCAATACAGACCATTTCGCCTTTACCTGTAGAACAAACAAAATAATTATTTTATAAACGAAGTGGAGTAAAATTTCACTTAAATGTGATGGAGTTTTGTAAAAAATTTATCTTTACATGCACTCAGAGATAAGGTTTTGTATGTAAATAGGCAGGATGAAGTCTAGAAAACACAAACATATTGCATTAAAATTTATCACAAATGTTCTAAAAATCTACAGTTTTCGATGCACGAATAATAATAATTTTTCCCCAGCAAGATGTATTTATCAGCAACCTAGTACTTGGTAGAATTATAAAAAGTTATGTACATTTGTATGTATAAGTTTGATGGTAGGCAATTTAAAAAATTAAACTGGTTTATGATATATACATATATCATATATATGATTTTAGAATAAGGTATTTATTATTAGATAGGAGTCTCAAGCAATCTTATTTTTGCTAATTAGCAAATAATTAAAAATGCATATGTGTTTTTAATGCGCATAATTACACTATAAGTATATGGTAAAAGCAGCAAATAAAAATAAGGCCCTTCGATTATTAACTTACCCAGCTCAGCTTCGCCATAGCGTGGTGGGATGCATTTCTTGTGACAGGCATTTGTCATTCTGTTATATAAGTCAGACATCATTTCGATTTCCATTTCTTGCATCAATTGTAATTTAGCCTGATCGGCTTGACTAATTTGTGGCATAGCCATTGTGTACGTTATATCCTTTTCTTAATAGCAGAGGTTTATTTTAGTTCCACCCACTGTATAAGGGTGTAAAGGAGTCTTAAGTTATTGTTATTGTTAACGTTTTATTTGTTTAACCACTGAAACGTCTGTCACCAATGGGCTCGTAATCACCAATATTCGATTTTCGCATGCGTTCGCGTATTTGCATATCCTGATAACGCCTTTTATCTACAGAATTTTTCGACAAAATGAACCCAGAGACTCCAGCGAATGTAATGACCGACCTAAGGAATATTTCGTAAAAAATAAATAATTAATTACATTTCTAATATAATTTTACTTAATTTTACTTACCAACAAACAGCAATCTTTCCAAAAGAACCCAAAGACATGACCCAAAAGTGAAGTTCTACCGAAGCAACGATGTAATCTCAGCTGGTTTTTGACTAACCTCAAAATTTACCTAAATGACAGCTGTGAAGCCAAAAAAATGTTGCCATATAGTTGGTAACAACTGTTTATGCCCCTCACGAAATTTACTTCTTTAAAATAACTAAAAATAGAAATATGATAAAAAAATGAAAAATAACAATTGTAAAAAAATTAGGGTTTTCGAATGCAAATATCATTTCCATATTAAGAAAAATTTTCCTTTTAATCTTCATCATCCGATCGCCATTCTATTTTTCAGTGGTTTACATATGTATGTAGTTTTCGCTAGCAAGGGTTATACCATAGGAAAACACAATTTTTAATTAGAAGGGTTGTTTTTGGTTTTAAATTATATTAATGTTTTCTTATAATAAAAACTTTTATAACAAAATAAATTAACAAATGTTTAAAAGTATGGATACAAATACATAAATATACATGTACCAAAAATATTCATACATATGTACATAGTGGAATGATAAATTATCGAAATATAAATACAAAGCGTAAGGTTTCATTAAGGATTTGCATTCAAACTAAAGTAATGGAGGCTATAAAGACAAACATACATAAAGTGATTATGAAAGTAATATACACATGATAGTTTTTTCGTTAGTTAAATATACTGTAATATTTGGAGAATTTTCTTTACTCGTAACGAATAGACTCCATGATGTGTGTCTTCTTTAACAAACCCTTTTCGGTCAGTAAGGTAGGGTACGGTGCAGTATGGTAGTGTCTGAATTATATTCCAACTTGTGGCATAAAAAGTAAATAAAGTTAATAATTTTCTTATAAATATACGCAGCGCATGTCACATATCTCCTACATAGCTGCTAAAGTTTCAAAAGTCTATTGGTTGTTTTTGGCTAGGTAAAACTCTAACTAGCAACAATTGGATTTTGAATTTTATATATGGTGTGGTTTTCTAAGCAAATGCAGTTTTAATATTAACTCGGCGGTATAGAAAACGAATGTTGGCCCCTGCCATGATTTGGTTTCGAGCCAAACCAACTCATTTTCCAATTTAGAGTATCTTGTAATAATTTCTCCTCATCTTTTGTGAGTTTTAATAAAGTTGCAACAGCACGTATTAAATGTCGTGCCTCAACCTGTAATGGAAAAATTTGTATTTAGTGAAATTTCACATAAATAAAAACAAATCGTTTGCTAACCTCACGACTGGTCAGAAATTTGACAATAACGTGTTTTAAGTATTTAAAATTGACTTCATCCATAACAATACTATTGGAAGTGTTGGTGCTTACGCCCATGTCGCAGTGATTGCACGTATTTGTTTCGTTCACAAGCGTAGCACTTACTGAAACATCATTTATAACACTGGGGGGTTTGGCCGAAATGCAATTGCCGTTGCGTTCCTTATCAACGTCAAATGATTTAGCGCTTTGAAATTCTTTCTGTAATGTTTTCTTCAAATCAGCCAAGCGTTGATTTAGAATCTTTATTGTCTGTGGGTTAACAAATATGAACTTGAATTCAGTAGTTTGGAATTAAGATTTCAAATACCTACCTTATTTTTTTCCGCCATTTCTCTCTGCATTTCATCGATCTCCTTAAGCTTCTCGTCGTTTTTATACATCACAGTCTTTAGTTCTTCCATTTCATTTTTACACAGATCAATTTCTTGAGTTTTGACTTGCATTTCCTTTGAGAGCTGTTCGTTTTTTTCATGCAATTCATTTGCCTCATCACGTTCGATGCGCAACTCCTTGCGTAGAATCTCCTCGCTTTGTGATATTTCAGCATTTCTCAACAATGCAGTAAGTTTTTCTTCTCTTTCGCTTTCAAGTTGATTTTGCACTTCGTCGAACTGCTTTTGTAGCTGTGAAATTTCTTGTCGGTGGAATTGTGCCATATGTTCCGCATTTGTGGCGTATTCGCTGAAACGTTCATCTGCAGTGGTTATACGCAACTTTAGGTCCCTTGTCTCATTTTCCAATGTCTCCTAAATTGATAATAAAGATATTGGTTGTTAATAAGGAAGCCCACTATCTTATATATAAAATTAAGTGATTGTCGATTAAATACAGAAAAATGAGTAATAGTTAAATACTACTTTATAATAATATTAAATAATAACAAACGAAATATCCTTTAGGAAAAAAAAATATTTATTAAAAATTTCGAATGATACATTTTTTCATAGATATGTATAAAACAATTAACAAATATTGGTTATCATAAATAAAATTAGCAAAAATTTAATAAAATAAACATTTAGTGTTAGTTGGTGTTATTAATTAAAGCTTTTTCGGCATACATATTTTGTAAACAAAATAGAAATGTATTTTCTCACAAATGTTGTGGAACTAGTTTAAGCGCTATATTAGCGTAGGTGTGCTTGGGTTTAGATTTGGTGTCTTTTTTTGGTGGTTAGTTACATATGGTCCCATTGTAAATCATCCATATCAGCAGTTATACTCACAGCCTTATTGCGTTCGTATATAATTTGCTGCTCATTTTCCTCGCGACACTCTCGTAACGCCATATTTAATTCGTCAATTTCCTCCTCCAGCAGTTTTATCTGTAAGAATGATATTTTTGATAAATTTAAAAAATATGATTTAATTGAGGCATACATACATAACACAATAAAGCAATTTGAGATTGAACATTTTTTAAATTATATATAAATACGTCTTACAAAGCCAACGACTTTTTTGTATTTAATATGCTAAAGCCTTAAAAGCAGTTTTCGATGCTTTTTATTCCACCGCCCGCTTTAATAATACCTCTCCAAAATTTTAATTACGAACCTTATCATCTCTTTGTTTTGTATAATCATCCATTTTCATCATTTCGAATTCTAACTGCTTCACTCTTTCATTTAAGTCATCTCGTGCCTTCAATATTTTTCGCTTCTCTGTCGTTTCTTCCGCAACTTGTTTTGATAGTCGACTAACTTGTGTTTCCAGTGACAAATTTTGACCACTCCAAGTACTTTTTACATCGGATAGCTGAAGGTGTGCCTCTTCTAAATGCTGTTCGAGCATTTTACGTTCTTGCACAAGTGCTTGCATTTTTTCATCAGCATTAAAGCTATTAATCGCATCTAAGCGCGCCTGTTCCATAATTTGCAGGCGCATTTTTAAATGTCGGTTCTCCTCTTCTACAGCTGCCAATGTAGTTGTTAAATTATTTTTGCCCAATTGCGACGAATGACGCAAGCGTTCCAGTTCATCCTGTGAACAAAGAAAAGGTTTACCTATAAAAGATATGTAAGTACTTGTGTATATTTTCAAATAACCTACGTTGTAGATATGCAAGGTATACCAAAACACATACCTATTTATTGCTTTATCAATTATACGTACCAGCGTGAGTCAACCTCATATATATATGTGTTTCAAAAACTAAGTGTATACTATGTATATACTAAGGCTTCTTGCTACCTGCCAACATAACATAAAAGGGGGATAAAACTATACAACGGTTTTTCGTAAACTAGAATTTTAATGTGCTTTCAGTACGCGATTTTTTTTTTACACAATAGACAGCGCACAATATAAAAGTAGAGATAAACACAAAAATCAACAATGAATTGCTTATATGTTTATAAGCTGTGAACACATAAACATGAATATATACCCCGATATTAACGTAATAACCGATCAAACGCTTAATATATATATAATTTATTATCTGAATAAAGAAACGAAAAATAAGTGAAAAAAAACGCATACTTTGATTGCCAACAACAACATTTATTCACCTGTAAGTCCTCGACCATGGGTTCGAATTGCTTTAGTCGTTCAAGTTCTGTGGTCAAATTTTCGATTTGCTGTTGATTTTGCCGCATAGCTGCTAGTCTGTCAACAGCTTCTTGTTCACGGAATGATAATAAGTTTTTTAATTTCTCGATTTCACTCTGTTGTAGATTTTGTATCTTTTCCTGTTCTTCGCAATATATATCCTTTTGGGTTTGTGCTACTTTGACAGTTTCCAAAAGAATTTCGTTTGTCTTTTCAATACGTGTTTTCTCTTCTTGTAGCGTTTGTAAGCGTGCAGTTAAATCTGTCACCTTGGTGGTCAGTTCATTACATTGGCTGCGCAAGGTAGTTAGCTGCTCGGTCTGAAAAAATAAAATGTATTTGGATTCACAATTGTGTTGAAGAATTTTTCCTTTCCTTTTTATAAAGTACATATTTCGATTCTTACCACATAGCCTTGCGAGTCCACACTGCCCCCGCCTCCAACGGCATCCTCATTTGTAGAATTTACACTTAAAGTTGATGAGAACCGGCTACGTATTCGATTATTGTTATGATTTGTATGTCGTGCAGTAGCTGTAGTAGCAACATCTGACCCTGTCTCTTCCTTAATTTTATTTTTCAACGAAGCGAACATTCTTCAATGCTGCAGCTTTCTTGGATTGCGAGCTGAAAATTATTTGGTAAATCAATTGCAACATCCGTTGATTGCTCAAATCGTTGCAGGTGAAAATAACGGGTTGCTGCAATTCGCAGCTATCGGCTTCTGCCCACCCCCACTTTTGTGTATTGGTATTTTTGCTTATGTACACTGAATTTCTTTTTTTTTTTTGGTTTTTTCTGTTATCAACGTTTAATTGGTTTAAGTTACTAAACTTTGCTTTATTTCGTTATCGCAAATGCAAATTTTCGGGGTTTAATACATTTGGAATTTATGCTAATGAGATTTGCGTAAAATAATCGGCGACGAAGAATTGTTTTTAGTTTTCACACAAGCAAAAAATTTAATACCCACGTCTGTCCAATTACTTTTTGAAGTTTAGCAATGTTGGCATTGAGCTTACAGAGCAATAACGTAACGTAAATATAAACAGGGTGATACAAAGTAGAAATTTTCCAATTTGTGTTCGCTTATACATCCCTTACGCGAACTGATAAATTGGATAAATAATAAATTACATATATTTCATTTGAACTGTTGTTTTCTGCATTTGAAGCATGAGACTTTTTTAGTTTCTTTTTTTTTCATATTTTAAAATATGATATGTGACAGTATAATAGAAGTCTTGGAGCTCAAACATATGAAAAAAAATATTCCAAAATAAATATAATTATCTTAAAGATTCGAATATTTATAATAAACGTTTTTCTTTTTTAGAATGCTATGGTCAGCTTTTAAAGTTTTACCATTCACATAAAACCTATTTTTCAATTTGTACCTACTTTGTCTAAAACTCCGTTCAGCTCGGAGAGATTTTTTCCGATTATCCTCCATTGTGGTTCTTCCTTCACTTAGTGCCTCCGAATAGTGCGGAACCGCTGACACGACTAGCTCGCTATTGTTATAAACACATAAGCGGGGCCTACTTCCATAGGTAATAACGTTAGCTTGTTACATAAGTTAGCTATATACATATGTGCGGGGGCACCAAATTCCAAAATAGCTCCTTTCATAGATTTTGGTATCTTTCACATATATTTCTAAGATTTGGCGGTTTGTAAATGTGCTGTCAATGGTCGGTTAGTCCATTGGCGGAAGGCTTTCCGTTCCGTTCATATTGCTGGCCATTACCTGTAGATAGCAGAAGTGTGTTTATCAATTTCCAATTATTCCTCTGAGGTCTAAGTTGATGGTATCATTAGTTAAATACTGGATAAGGGATAGGTATTTGTTTTTGTGGTGGAATCGGGCGTGGCGCCAATGGGTGAAATGTTAAAGAGCTGAGTTTCGAATGAGTCGGTCTTAAACCCGTACTATTTATTTTAATGCCTATCGATGCTTTCATGGGTGTTGAAGTAAATGTCAGAGGGATGACCCTCCGTTATATCATCCATTAAAATAACTGAGGACATTAACTAGCTGGATATTGCCACAATTGGCTCAGCGACCAAACATATTGCTTGATAATTGGATACCGCCAGAGCATTCGCGAAGTTGCTGGGTAAACTGAGCTTCAAGAGCGTAGATTTAATAGTTTTAGATATTTTCTTCTTTCACTCATAGGGTCTTTTTAGCGAACCTATTCCAATTTTGCGCATATTTTATTTCTCAATTGGAACTATGTATATATGTATGTTACCCAGTTCAGTGGTTTTCCAATTTAACCTAACTTAATCTAAAACCATATTTTAATAACAGATTTAGGGTTTCTACAAAAGTTCTTTCGATATTTGTTGTCATCAATTTCGAATTGACACAAGTTCGGTTTAAATAGCCAGTCTTTCAAATCAATTCTCAAGTTGAATTGTTTTTGTATACTAAAAAGTTTATTGCTAAAATACATATGTACATATATACACAAGTAAAGTCAAATATTGATTTATTTACATTCCTTTTCACCATAAATAAATACATTGAAGATTTTATTAACATTGTCTTCCAGCAAAATGGGTAACTGATAGTTTGAATAGCCAAGCTAATGTCCAAATAACAAGGCATTACCAGCCTCGTTCAAATTTATTTGTTTACCTTGCCACTCACAGTGTGTTTGCAAATCGATAGCCGTAATATTTCAGCTGAACCCTCTGCTCTTCAACATTTATTTTATTATCTATTATTTACAACTATAAATAAAAGCATCAGCCTATAACGGAACATGGCTGTCTTCTTCCGGTTGCATGATGAAGCAGCGTCTCGAACGAGAGTTACTCACTCTAGCGTTGAACTGTGATAAGGAGTATCATACAGTTTTGCTTCTCCCGGCAAATTCACATTCTTCCTATTCTTATTCGTGCTTCGTGAGGTGCTCCACCATCGATTCTAAAGGCAGCAGTTATGTTATGTTCTATGCCACTTTATATGTGTGTTTGTATGCATACGAGAGTATTCGTTTAGTTTGTTGTTTGATATTCATCCGGCTTCCGCTGTTTCTACTTCGTAGCATTAAAGTTATATTATTGTATGTTATATTTTGGCTAGGCTTTTATTTGAGACTTTACTACTACAATACTAGTGAATTTTTTATAATAGATATATATGTACATACATATGTATGCAATGTATAAATTCAATGCTAACATTTCATGTACTTATATACGTATGTATATCTGCACGTTTGCCCATTTCCTTGCTTCTTTTTATTTTTTATATCTTTTTATGCCTATGTCCTTTGTTAAGGGCGTTTGGGATTTCCATTGTTAGTGGTCGCCTGTTGTTGTTGGTTGCAACTTCTGTTACAAGTTCAATTCAATTTCTTGAGTTCGCTTGCTCCACTCTTTTTACTAAGCAAATTGATAAATTTGGCTTTAGAAAGCAATACCCTACAGGGAGCTGATAGCTTATGAAATGCCAAATGTCTGGTAACTTAATAGCGCCATACTAGTAAAATACCAGTTCATTTATGCTTGTCGAATAAACACTTTGTCAAAATATTCCACTACAGAACCTATGTAAAGGCGTCGTCGCCTATCTTGTTGAAGTTGAAAGGCCGCTCACTTTGTTGTTCGATTGGTGGGACGAAGGACACTTTATCGCCGAGAACCATCGTTCAGCCCGTTTACCACCACCATTCGTCTTAGAGCGGGTCTAATAAAAGCATTGTTGATTCGCACCCTTGCCAGTAAATAAGGACTGTCATTGCTACGAATATTCTCTAAAACGCCTGGATTACACATATGAATGAGCGTTTCGCCCGATAGGAATAGGTTATGTGGCCTGGAAAGGAAAATCATAAGAAAGAGGACAAAAAAAAAATATTCGAAAATATACAAGATAATAGTGTGACTCGCAAGCAAATGGTGTCAGAATCGGCATCACTTCTAATGGTTAAACACAATTCTTAACGGCGGTTGAAAGAGGAAGTTGACACCTCATAGAAACCGCCCATACTTTAACCGTTAGAGAGATATTTTAGAGTCTTAAATATACAGTTAACAATTTGAATTCAAAACTGTTGTTGAGGTCAACGTTGCAAACACTGATTTGTAATTCGTTTTCTATCACTTCCGAGTCAGTCTAAGCTTGTAGATACCTCTAGACACGACTGAAAGAGATGCTTATTAAAAGAAAGTTACGGGAAACTCAACTAAATAACGTCGAAAAAACTGGCCATTGGTGCCCATCTAAACATTTTTAGGATTGCAGAGATCTCAAAATACCGTGTTTCCGATATAAGTATTAAGTAAACTAAAAGGTCTGGTTGTTTATATGAATTGAAGATTTTTTTAATACAACAAAGAAAAATGGTAGAATGATAGCTGTTTCGGAGATCACCACATCTTCTCATCAGCCGTCTTATGGCAGGGTTCGAACCAACGGATCCTGACTTTCCTTTTTTGGACAGCACAAATGTGACATAAACTTATAGCTAAAATCCTCTTATACTCGTATGTACATCAGAGTTCCAAAAATGCCTGGATGACTGGTGGTATATTTAAAGAAGCGCTTTTCAAACCATTTTGTCCCAGAGGTATGCACTTGAACTTGCTCAAACTTGTTTGTCTTTTTTTAGGCTCGAATTTTTCAAATCAAATTAAATCTTCCATTAAAGGCGTATCTATTGGATAACGCGACCTGTCATGCTTTAGCTGACATTTTGAAATCGGAAGGCGGATTAATATCAATATTACATTTCCCAAAATTGAAAATTTTGCAAATAGAAATTACATTTGTTGAGCATAATACCAGGCAAGAATGATGAGAAATTTTCAAAACCCTAACGAATAACACATTAAAATAAAGTGATCTTAAGTTTGATGGTGACGTGGGAAAATACAGATAGGTCTATATTGGTTAGCATTTTAAGAAAAGAAGAATACACCAATAGTATGGGGCAAACTATCGAACTCATATAAAGTAATAGAGTGTCTGAACAATGCTTTGGATTGAGCTGAACAGAATTCTTTAGCAACAAAATGGTGTAATCTTCTGTTTTCTTCAGCTGTGAAGTGAAAAGAAGCATAAACAATATTTTTTTTTTTCTTTTAACTTGATGCTATGAACAAATTTTAGTTACTTCAAACACCCCTGGAACGGTCGTGTTCACACCAGTGCGAGTGAACTGTATTACGAGGAGATTAACAAAAGTTCGATCAGTTGGTGACTTTCAATTTCTTTTTGTTAAATCTAAAAGTACTAAGTCATTTGCAATTACTTTATTAGTCTTCGTTTAAAATTTTAGAGCGATCGGCTAAAATGGAGACGAGAAAAAGCAAGATATCTGAGGATAGGCCAGAGGAAATTCTAACACCAACGCAAACAGAAGACGAACGTCGAGAGGGTTGACCAAAAATCTTCCACTGATGGCGTCACTGTAGCTATGGTGAAGTCCCAAATCGAAAAAGACCCACAATTCACACAAGAAATGATTGCTAATGAATAGGACTTGAATACCATAGCTGTATCGCGAATATTAAGAAATCATCTGGTATACACGAAGAAATCTGTTCGATGGGTACCACGAATGAGGCCCATAGAGA